CCTTGGTAGGTACCGGCTCCTTGAGCAGCCCCTGGTCCTTGATGGCCCCAAAGATTTGGCTGATTGGGTAGGCCAGGGGTGCCGGCCCTAGGTTCATATGGGGGCCATCCACCGTGCGTTCCTGTGCGGCCCACGGGACATACCCGCCGACCGTCTTCTTCTTTTTCAGGGGTGGCGATTCGACCGGTCCGGGACCCAGTCGTTCTGATGCCTTGCGCTTAGCGGGGGTTGATGCTCTGTCCCGCTGTGAGACCTCCTCCTCTATTGCCGCGAATTTGTGCGCGCGGGCCAGCACCTCAGCGTAGTTGTTCCCTGGGTTCCTTTTTAAGTCCAGGTAGAGGTCCCCGGTCGCCAGTGCATTGGTGAAGAGGGTGATGCCGGTGCTCTCCGGAAGATCCTCCACCTTCAAGGTTTCATCCCTCCACCTGATCATGAAGGCAGATATGGATTCCCCCTTATTCTGGTGGACGTTAGTCAGCCAACTGAAATGCTTCTTTGGCGTGGAGCTGGAGGCGAACTGAGCCATGAACTGTCGGGAAAGTTGTTCAAAGTTGTCGATAGATCTGGGCCTGAGCTGCCCGAACCACTCCTGTGTCGGCCCTCTAAGGGTGCTGAAGAAAAGCCTGCACACAGCCTCATCGGAGGCTCCCAACATGGAGAGCGTCCCTTGATAAGACAGTAGATGGGCTTTGGGGTCCCCGGCTCCATCATAAGTTAATGTTCCAGGGGGCCGAACGTCCCGCGCAATGTCTACCGCCATAACCCTGTCGGTGAAGGGGGGTGAAAGAGCAATCCTGGACTAGGCCTGAGCGTTCTCCGTCCGGCGATTCAGCTCATTTATTTGCCTCTGCATATCCAGGAGCATGGCATCCAGTGGATCAGTCCCAACAGGCGCGGGGGTTACTACTGCCAAGGCGTCTCCTCTTGGTACAACGCCTTGATTGTGCTGGCCAAAGTGCATTCGGGTCTCCGCCGCTATCCCGCTCAGTACGGGGGTATGTTCCCTAGCCGTTCCCCCTCCGCGGGGCATGACCGGCGTGGGGTCCTGAAACGTGTGGCGCTGTGCTCCTCTGAAGGGCCTAGCCCCTGTGGCGCCCCCCTACCCGGAGGGCGGGTGTTCTGGGTTATTCTGGAATGGACCGAACGACGGGGATTTCTATTATCGCCAGTGTGTTCGGTGAAAGACTGCATGGGACGGACGGGTGAGAGCGGGGTGCGCTCAGTATTGGCGGTGTACACGTGCTCTTCCTCCCACTGATCCGCCAGTCGGCGGATAGTATCCGCGATATCTCGCAGTGCGTGGGGGGTCCCTGCGGAGTTCCTGTGGAATCAGGTCGGTGAGCATCCCGAAGTCCCCTCGGCTCCATAGGCTAGTGGATTGGGCCCCTGCCGCCTGGTTACGGCTCCTCCTGCTATGAGCCAGTCGTGATGATAGATCTTGAGAATTGCCCGCGTTATTAGTATTCATTTTGTTTGCCTTTTTTGTTGTCTTAGAAGTTTTAAATGGAGAGTTTGGAAAAAGAGCTTTTTGATCAGTTTCCCACAGACGGCGCCAGTGTTGAGGTTTATTCCCCTCAACCCGCAGGCCCAACACGTAACCTGGGGTTTCGAATGGGTGGAAAGCAAATGAACTCACTAAATCAACGGGGATGGATCAAATGACTGTTTCCTTCAATATTGTGATTACAAGCCAAAAGGTCGAACGTACTGGAAATAAGCTACGTACTGCTGACGCTATTACAACTCTAGAGTAACGATGTGTGAACCCCTTACAATGAAATAAATGCGGCTATTTATAGTACACCCTGGTGGTTGGGGGGCTGACGTGGCCGGTTGTGGGCGACATGATTCCAACCACCAAATCTTCAGCATTAAATGCGCTTCCCGCCAAAATCTTGGTTTCCCGCCATAATGCGGGGGACGTCCGTCCCCTAAACTGAACTCAATTCTTGGATGACAACCTGGGCCTTTAAGTATAGCCCACATGACGTCCATCCCCAGGCCCTTGGGCCTTGAGGCCTGACTATGATGGGCTACGTACGTCCCCTGACTCTTAGACCCTGAGGCCTGGCTATGCAGGGCTATGTGCGTCCCCTGGCTCTTAGATCGTGAGGCCTGGCTATGGTGGGCTACGTGCGTCCCCTGGCCCTTGGACCCTGAGGCCTGGCTATGTTGGGCTACGTACGTCCCGTGGCCCTTGGACCTTGAGGCCTGGCTTTGGTGGGCCACGTACGTCCCTTGGCCCTTGGGCTTCAGGGGTTGATGGGCCGGTCCTGGAAGGCCATTAACCCAACAATATGTTGATTGGCTTTCAAATCCCACCCACATATCTTAAAGTTTGTCAAGTTTGACCAACACGAGAATTAATAAAGTAAAAACCGTGTTGTTGAGGTTTGTGCAGAGAAGATAGATTAACTGCAACAAAAAATCTTTACTTGAAAGGTAAATTCAAAATTAGTGGGACAACCGAAAAAGGAAAGTTAACAAACTTTTAAGAGACAGAGGAAGTATTAATTAAGGATACAATCTTATTATCTTAATATAAATAGAATTGTTTTTGATAAGTAATTTTAATTTGACCCAATATAAGAAATAAAGCTACAACATCACCCTTGAATTTAAGGATCGGATAAAATTGCATGCATATTCTCACAACAAATTTAAACAAAATAGAAAATTATCAGCCATAAACAGAACATTGCCGTATAAATTCGCTCCCACTGCTATTCTCTCAATCTCACCCACAAATGTATGTGGTAATAAAAGAAAGTAACTAATCATGAAATACATTCTTGAAACAAACTAATCTGAAATAAATAAAATAGCAATATCGTTTCCCTTACATCTACAAAAACCATGAACTGAAATATATTAATTCGTTCATATTGTTTAAGTCTCGCCTATAAATGAGTAATGTCGATATCATACCGGCTTAACAGAACCCTGCCAGGCCAATCCATGTTTGGCCGTAAATGTAGTTTATGATCCACTTTTTTTATTCTTACTATCAACTGTTAGTTCCAATTACTAGATCATCATAAAATTAAAATTGTGTGAGCTTAAATATGATATTTATGATAAACTATTATCTACTCTCTCTATCCTTTTTGGGAAATCTTACTAATTAGATTGTTTCATATGAAATTTGATAACGTTTTTGTGACTCTAAATCATTTTTGCTTCATTCTTACTTTATCATATCAATATCAATCACATAAACTCGCTTTTCTTAATAACCCTATCACCCCCATCATGTCGCAATGTTAATGGAACGAAGGTAGTATTAGATAATGTTTAAGGCGAAAAAGTGAGGTTGAAGGATCCACCTAATAAAATTAAGATGTAGCTGTTAAAGCTAATAGTTGATACTGATGAATAAAAAACTTGAACCATAAACTTCATTTTCAATAAATAAAAAATGGGGCTGGTCCATCAAATCGGTCCGATGAAAACGCTACTCTATTATTACCATTACTTATATCACATAATTTGTTAATATTATATCACAAATGTTTATATTATATAAAATAACAAAGAAGCTACACATTTTTTGCGGCAAAACTCCTACCCACTAAAAAGACATATTGATAATTAATATTTTGTTAAAAATGAGTATAGATATGTGGAAAATATTAAGTTCAAACGACAATCAAATACTAATATGTTATGCATGCATTCAGAAATAAATATATCATTGAAAATGAGTATAAATATATTTATTTGGAAAGTAACCAATTTAATACTATTATATTATGCATGCACTCGGAAATGAATATATCATTGAAATTGAGTGTGTATATATAGGAAAAAATCATGTCCACCCATCCGGATAGGATCATCCGTCCGGTCACCGCATGTTATTCATGTAGTGATGTTCACAAAATTTCAGTTAAAAATTAATCGGAAAATCTGTTAACTAAATTATTGAAGAACACTGTCTTTCTATATATAGCTTGACACAATTTTTTCAATAATTTATTTAAATGATTTCCAAATTTCATTTTAAATTGAAATTTTATGGACATAATCTACACTTGATCAAATATTTTCACCGGGAACCACCTTAAACAACAGAGGCCGGACAAAAGGTCATGTACATCCGACTGAATATAATCATCACTCTATGTATATATAGGACAATGATATATATATGGAAGAGTTCAAATAAAAAGACCCCGTGCAAAGTGAGAATATATGCACTTTTTCATGTTTCACTTGCACTTTTTCGTGTTTCTTTTGCACTTTTTCGCAGAGGCGAAAAAAATGTGGTTTATTTACGAAATTGCCACCGCGATTTTGGTCGAATTCAGTGCATTTTTGGCTCATTTTGAACGATTAGATGTGGAAATGAATGCATAAAATTTATTCTCACTTTGCATGGGAAGAACTCTTTGTATTTGAACCATCCCATATATATATATATATGTGTATATATATATATATATATATATATATATATATATATATATATATATATATATATATATATATATATATATATATATAACAAAAAATAAAATAGGACAAAGATCATGTAAGGTAGACTTAAAAGTTACAGAACAATTTTTATGGCTCTTTCATTGAAGGTGTTTCTGGGTAAATTTTTTTGATGATTTTTTTATTCAGTTAAATAAATTATTGAAAAAATGCATGTTATATAAATAAAAACTGTGCAATTTGCAAAAACTTTATTTAATTGATTTCCCGATTAAATTTTAAACAAATTGTTATTCTACTCTAGACATATCCCGTGCATCGCACGGGTATTTCGTCTAGTTTATAAATATTTAAGGAATGGTAGTCTTACATTCAATTATTTATACGAAATTACAATCATCATTATAATATGGGACCTATTTCAATATTGGAGTATTTAATTCTAGGCGACAGATTCAAGAATATCAGCAAAAAGAAGTAAAGTAACGTGCCTCTTTAGAATTTTTGAATATCTGGAAAGAATTTCAACCCATATTTATTGTAAAAAAAAACTGGAATAACAGGTGGAAAGTGAGAAAAGCCAGCATGGCCGGTTGCACCATGACCGGATCTTTATGTCAATTCAGAAACAACATTTTCAGGGCGTCTCTCTTATACCTTCCTTCTTCTTCTTCATCCACCGGAGTCGCTTACCTGTCTACATATATTACGCGCGTACATACATCTTCCTTCTTCTTCTTCTTCCTATTTTTGCATGTATTGCGAATTCCATAAAGTTAAGAGAGGGAAATTGCTCCATTGTTCATTCAGTTGACCTTTTCATTTGCCAGCTCTGATCGTTAGATAATCAGCCGGAGGAACGAGGGGATCTCAGGAGGTGAGTGGATCAACCGTTTCTGAAACTGTTTAGATCTCTCGAGAATTGTTCGTTTGTTCGGTTTTGTCGTCTTTGGAATGCTGGCATTTTGATCTCACGGCTGCTAATTGTGTCGTATTGTTAATGCCGATGGCTTATTTGATACGGAGTAACTTTAATATAGCGTGTGACACGATCTCGTTTTGTTGTTTTTATATGTATTGTGAGCTGATTTCGCGATTTGTTATTCCCATATCTGATGTTTGGGAGATTAATTAGTTCGGTGCCAGAGGCTTGCCTAATGTTTGGGAGGTAGTTTTTTTTATTTATTAAAAGGTCTCCTTAGCCACACTGCTGAGATTCGTCTGCTGGTACCTCTGTGTCCCTACATTGTTGATATGCTAGGTGGCTACTAAGACCACTGTGTTTTGCGTAGTCATATATGGATTGAATGAAGAAGATAGTTTACTTAATTTAGCTCTATTTCTATCAATTTCACTATTAAGCTTGAATTGTTGGTGAAATGGGAGTAAAGATTGAAGTTGCTGATTTTATCCTGGTAGCATCTGTTTTTATGTACATAATAATTACTTATATGTTTTAAAGTTTCATGGAGGATAAATGCCCATATAGGAACACTCTAGTGTAAGAACGATATGTGCTCAACCTGCATATCTGATTTTACCAATCATGTGAAGTCCATGAGTAAAGTCAAGGAAGGGTATTCAAGCAATATGAATGACAGGATCACAAAAAATGTGTAATGCGTGGGCAAGTATCTTTATTATTTTCTGTAAGATTATTCATAAGTTCATCCACCGTAGAGAAATTTATAAATGTTTACTTCACAATTTCATCTTTTGTCTTTTCCACAATCCTTGATTCTTTCATGCTTCATTCTTTTTTGCATTCTATCCCGTGGAACTCATCATAGCTGAAGTTAGGTGATTTTGAGCTTTGACTACTCTTTTTTTAAGGAACAGCTCATTGGCAATTGCATGCGATGTCTAGTTCTGTGAAAGGTTTGGAACCTGCATTTCAGGGAGCAGGCCAAAAAGTGTATCCTTTTCTGCAGTTGCATATTTATATGCAGAGTGATTGTTTATATTACATGTATTGACAGTAAACTTTAAACATACATTATGCCTTGTCTATATATTATATGCTACGGGATATTTCTTCATTAGAGTTTTTTGCATATGTCTTCCCCCTAACTGTATATAGAGGGACTGAAATTTGGAGAATTGAGAACTTCCAACCAGTTCCTCTGCCAAAATGTGATTATGGTAAATTCTACTCAGGCGATTCATACATTGTCTTGCAGGTGCATACTAGTTCGGTTTTTAAATACATTTTATAATTTTGTGAACTGAGGTGTTGGGGCAGAAATTATGATATACTCGCCTCATGTTTGCAATTTTTATTTGCAGACTACTGCTGGCAAGGGAGGTGCTTATTCTTATGCCATACACTTCTGGCTTGGGAAAGATACTAGCCAGGTATTGCATGACATATGTCCCTAACAACAGCATCATCACTTATCTTTTTCATTTTCCTAAAACAATTACAATTCAATAGGATGAAGCTGGAACAGCTGCTATTAAAACTGTAGAGCTTGATGCAACTATTGGAGGGAAAGCAGTACAGCACAGAGAAATACAAGGTCATGAATCTGATAAATTCTTGTCTTACTTTAAGCCATGCATTATGCCATTGGAGGGTGGTGTTGCGACCGGATTTAAGAAACCAGAGGAGGAAGAATTTGAAACACGGTTATATGTTTGTAAGGGGAAAAGAGTTGTTAGATTGAAGCAGGTAGAGGACATGCAAATTGAATTCTCGTCTCTTGCATTGTTTTGATATGATGTACTTCTCTTCTACAATAGCCAAGAAAATGTAAAAATATTTAAATTTTCACAGGTCCCTTTTTCTCGATCCTCACTAAACCATGATGATGTGTTCATTCTGGATACCAAAGATAAGATATACCAGTTCAATGGTGCAAACTCCAATATTCAGGAAAGGGCCAAAGCATTAGAAGTAGTTCAGTTTTTGAAGGACAAATATCATGAAGGGACGTGTAATGTGGCTATCGTAGGTAAGTGTGTTTTAGGACTAAGAACTATCCTACATTCCTACCTGTTTGTGCTGCTCTAACATAATAGTCTTGTTTAATTCACCGGCAGTTTTATTAAATCTAAAACCGTGCTTTCAGATGATGGAAATTTACAGACAGAATCAGATTCTGGTGAATTCTGGGTGCTTTTTGGTGGCTTTGCTCCCATTAGTAAGAAGGTTGCTACTGAAGATGATGTCATTCCTGAGAAGACTCCTCCTAAGTTATTTAGGTATCTTACAGAGTATAAGCATTTCAAGTTGGAGGATAATTTACGAAATTTATTAGTTGTTTACTTATTTCATTGACATGACTGGTGGCTCAGTTAACATTTTATTTGATATATTTTCACATTTCAATTACTTTTTGTGATGGGTAAATTTAATTTGAAATAAGGAGTGTATTCGCCATCTGACATGTTGTCCTGCTATTTAAAGGGGAAAACAGTAGAGGTTCTGGTTTGATGGGATCGGACACGATGACATAATATTATTCTTGCAAAACATTCTAATATTAGTTTAACAAATTTATCAAATTTTTGTTTGTCTGTAGCACATACTTCGTACTACCCCCGTCTCACTAGCATTGGGACGTGAGGAGGTGGCATGGTTATTAAGAACAGTGGGTTTATGTTGTTGATATTGAATTGATAGTAAGAATAAAGTAAGAATGATTTAGAACCACACAAACTTTACCAAATTTGGTATGGGACAATCTTAGTGGAGCGGACCAAAAAGGAAAGATGGAACAATCTTAGCGGAAAGATGGGACAATCTTAGCGGAACATTGGACAATCTTAGCGGAACGATACTAAGACTAACTTTACCGTCTTTACTGTCTTCTTAGTTGATATGTTAGTTTGAGACTCAAAATATTATTAATGCAAAACATTCTAATATTATCCTTCATTTTTACTACATGGCTACTGGTCCATGAGATCCATGGCGAAACTGAAACAAGGTGTTCTTTCACAAGACATCCCTTCTGCTAAGACCTCTTGCTCTAATGACTATATAGGTGTAAAGGAATTATTTTTACTTTCTTTAATGTGGTTTCCTTTGTTTCCAGTTTATGGGAAATAATTCCCTCACAGTTGTCAAATACATGTTTCTTGAATTTCCAGTGTATTATGGGATTTATGCACACTTAATTTTCTTATGAAGCCCAAAACTTATTATAAAGAATAACGAAATGCTCTATCTAGAAGATACTAAGATTAACTTTACCGTCTTTACTGTCTTCTTAGTTGATATGTTAGTTTGAGACGCAATTTTTTTCCTCTAAAAATCGTAAACTGTCTATGACTTCAATTGTTTCTTTATGACTCTATGTAGTACCTTTGCCAAAAACTCTGTAAAATATCAATCAATCGAAACAGTTGACACTGTGTTTAGTTGTTTACATGAATGGATAAATCTGATTATATAGTAAGAAACATTTTAAGCTAGCATAAATTTGTGCTCCACACGTTGATATTCATAATTTGGGCCGAGGCCAACTTTGAATGTATGAACGCCTAGTTTTGCTTGGTTTTTGAGTAGGCACCCTTTGTTTTTCATTGCACATTTGCGTATGCTAGTTACTTTCTGCATTCTGTAAGGTGCTAATGCCTTTTGTATTTTATTTCAGCATTGTTGCTGGTCAGGTCAATCCTGTGGATGGTGAACTTTCCAAATCTATTTTGGAAAACAACAGGTGCTATTTACTGGATTGTGGCGCTGAAGTATTTGTTTGGGTTGGCCGTTTAACTCAACTGGATGAAAAGAAAGCTGCTCTTCAAACTACAGAGGTATAAACTTAGCTGTTTTATTTCAATGTTACTTACTGGGTTAGTGATTCTTAACTTCTTATAGATTCATGCAAAATGATATTCTCAGGAATTCATTCGCAGTCTAGGGAGACCCAAGTCAACACACATTATTCAGCTCATTCAAGGTCACGAGACAAACTCCTTCAAGGGAAAGTTTGATGCTTGGCCATCAGCATCATCAACACCTGCTCCTGATGAGGGAAGAGGAAAAGTTGCAGGTAGATCAAAGTGGTTGATATAAAATACTGAATTTTGACGCTGTGAAACTAACTGTGGGTTTATCCTTTTTCATCTTTGTAGCTTTACTGAAGCAACAAGGTGTTGGAATCAAAGGTGCAAACAAGAGTGTTACTGTAAATGAGGAAGTTCCCCCTTTGCTCGAAGGAGGAGGGAAGATAGAGGTGTTATTATCTTTATTATTCGAGTTTGTCAAGAGGTATTCATTTAAATGTTACTTAATCTATTGGTTATGTGATGCTAACAAAGATCTTTATCAGGTTTGGTGCATTAACGGAAGTGCAAAGACTCCAGTTCCCAAAAATGATGTTGGTAAATTCTATAGTGGAGATTGCTACATTTCACTGTATACCTACCCCTCACATGATAAGAAAGAAGATTATTACTTGTGCTGGTGGATTGGAAAGGACAGTGTCGAGGTAATAGAATCTTATACATCAATTTTCAGTTTTCCTCTGTGCTTTGCTAAAATTGGCGTCTTCTTTGTTCTAGTGAGTTACTTATGAAGATATCCTGGTGATTTTAATAATAAATCATAAATAGAGCTGATTAAAGTCACTAGGTTTGATGTTTTTATTTTTCCTACTCTATTGTTATGCCACTTCTTTTACCTTTTCTAGACAAATGACCCGTGCGATGCACGGGATATATCTAGAGTAGAGTAATAACTTGATTTTAAATGATATTGTATTCTGATGATATAAATTTTTAATTTTGTTTGATAGAAGAAATATATAAATAACTCATATGTTCTAACTCATATTTTGTTTGATAATAGAAATATACAAAAAACTCATATGTCCTTATTTCTGCCGTCACATATAATAATCTTCAATTAGTCATTGAGGTGACCCTATACATAACGTCGTACGATAATTGATCATATCTAAAATTATTTTTGGTAGATATATGTCCACTCGAGTTAAAGTTTGCCTTTTTCTTTTACTATCTTCATGAAAAATAAAATGTGTTGGATATTACATGCGTTGAAATTTGAAAGGAACCATGTGTTCATACAATATTATTTACGGTAGCATTTACGGCTATATATTGTACTATATATTCATGTAATGATGGTGATTATTATTATTACTATTTTTACTATTGTTGTTATTTTTATTATATCGTAATGCACATATGGGTCAATTTTTGAGAAGGAAAATCACTATATATAAAATCAATTAATTACTAATATATCTTATGCATTAAGTTGGTAAAAGTAAATAACGACTATTCTCAAATGCAATATTATGGATTGACTTCATTGTGAGTAGTTTGCGCGGGGATATGTTTTCATGGTCAAATATTTTCTTATTTTCTCCTCAACGGACGTCAATTTTGGCTCCAAAATATGTAACAATTTTACCACTTTCTTATACAATAAAAAGATAATTATAAATACATCACTTGTGTAACGGTTTCATAGAATATCTATGACTTGAGATGGTGTGCGCATAATTCAATTTGATTTGGTTAGAAAATACCCTTAATATTGGTTCATATAAACGTCTACTATTATTAGTGATTTTATTATTATTTCTCTTATTACTATTACTATTATTATCATTTCTAATTTTTAATAGCAATATATTGTGGTTATTTTTGTGGTGTTGTTATTTTGTATTAACATGTTACTATGTTAGCGATTTTTTTTTTCCGCTAAATATTATTGAAATAGGACATGGTATAACTTATAAAAATGTTACTAAATTTTAATGTCATAGTTACTATGATATAAAATTGAAAATGGGCAATATTAAAGTCATTAAAGTAATTATTATATTCATTGAAATATAAAAAGTTACATCTTTGTTTTTTTGAAAGAACATCTTTCCTTACTACTACTATTTATGTATTCGTCTCTATTAAAAAATAAATTATTTATTTCCATAATTAAAAATGAGATATATTTACTTCTTATTGCCGATTGAATACAAAAGGAGAGTATGAATGTTTGACATGCATTATTAATACGTGTTTTTCTATTTGGTTAGTTAATTCAATATACATGATATTATTTGAGCCATATTCATGAGCAATAAATGCTCTATTAATGTAGAGATTTTTCAAGACACACATATACATGCCACATAGGCGGGACTATGCATATATTCATAGACACACAAATTTACATTTATCTCCTTTATTTAGGCGGCAATTTTGCCTCCAAAAGCGATTGCCACTCTGCTACTTTATATAATATAAAGATTGGTTGACGACGTCTGCTCTGTCTTCATGCTATATTTTTATGCATCCAGGAGGACCAGAAGATGGCTTCTCGGTTGGCTACCACAATGTGCAATTCATTGAAAGGAAGACCTGTACTGGTAATGCTGATGATCACTTATGTTTATTCATATTGAAAATGGGATATTGTCAGATTGAGTTACTGTGGAATGTGGATATCAATCAGGGCCGAATATTTCAAGGGAAAGAGCCACCACAGTTTGTTGCAATCTTCCAGCCCATGGTGGTCCTTAAGGCACATCTCCTTCGCTCTTATATTATCAAATCTTAAAGCTAAACTTTAATCTGGTAGGCTCGACTAACCTCTTGTCTCTTTATTTTATTAGGGTGGCCTAAGCACTGGCTACAAAAACTACATATCTGACAAAGGATTAAATGACGAAACCTATACTGGTGATTCAGTTGCTCTTATTCGGATATCTGGAACTACAGTACATACCAACAAAGCAGTTCAAGTTGATGCAGTATGTTTTTTAAGCCTTTCGACTGCTCCATTAGGCTACTATAACGTGTAATTTTTGAAGGCTTGAAGCAGTTGCTTTATTTATGGTTTATTTAAACAAACTTGACATTGTCATATTGAATGTCCTCTCTGCTGCCCATCGTTCAACATACTACTTTTATCCTTGCTGAACTTGACATCACAGTTCTCTGTGTTTAAAAGTGTAGGCACTGCTGCACTGCCTGAAGTCAAGAGTCAAGACTCTTTTCTTGTAGCAATAAAGAAATCAATATTTGTGAGAATTATTTGTTATAAAAATGGATTTTTCCTAAGTTTCATGGTGTATCTGTTTCTTGAGCAGTGGTCTTTGACATAGATTTCCAAAGTTCTTGTTTTTCCTTATATTCTCCGATTTGCAGTGACAACCCCCTTTAGTGCAAATAGAGCATTTCCAATGGCCCTTTATAATTAATAATGTATAGAAACCAATATAGGTTTGTAGACCCCACACCCATACTTCAAAAAAGCTGACTTGTCTTCATCTTTATGGCATTGGACTGCTATTACTGGTTACTACAACTGCTATTACCTGTGTTAGTGTTCTCATTGTGGTCAGCCAATATTTTATTGTGATTGGTTTTGGTTTATGCTTTATTGGAATGTAGTCCTCTTTGGACGTGCTCAATTAACCGACCCAATGTCAAAAGTCCGATTCTGCAGAAGTTCGCTTGTAACTAAGAAATACATTTTTTCACTGATGTTTTAAAATCTTCTTAAATAAGGATTAATCATTATTTCCACTTACTCCACATGGTGACACAAACCCACAGCCTGTAATTGCAAGTGAGAGCGATCACCTCATATTCTTTGTTTCTCGGAGTTTATTGACAAGCTTTTTTGTTTTTGTATTTTTTCAGGTGGCAACTTCTTTGAACTCTAATGAGTGTTTTATTGCTCAATCTGGGTCTTCGATGTTCACTTGGCATGGAAATCAGAGCACCTATGAGCAGCAGCAATTAGCATTAAAGATTGCTGACTTCTTGAAGGTACGCTTCTTTATGGAGAAGGAACTCATGTTCAAGAAAATGAAAAGCAATTAGTAAGGAGAAACTGAACCGTGCACTTGCATCATAAAATTTAGTGCATTGGTAAGTTAATATGTAATGGACTAATGTGACAGGCTCCAAGGTTATCTCATTGGTTAAGTATTTCCCAACTCAATTAGCATTTAGCAATGATTAGGAAAAAAATCCTTTTTAAAAGGACGAGTAAATTCAACAATTGCTGATGTATTCCATTTTCTTTTTATGCTCCAAAGAGTGCAAAAGTTCACATTTCATTAACTATCGAACTAAATAAAAACTGGAATTGTGTTCAGGAACCCTGAAGGTTATCTCATTGGGTAAATATTTCCCAACGCAATTAGCATTTAACAATGATCAGGAAAAACTTTCTTTTAAAAACGATGAGTAAATTCAACAAATGTATTCCATTTTCATAATAATCCTCCAAACAGTGCAAAATTTTGCATTTCCTTAACTATCAAATTAAATAAAAGCTAGAATTGTTTTCAGGAAGCCTGCAGTTTTTTCATGTGTGTAATATATGTATGTGTTTTTTCCAAGATATAAACATATGTTTTTACTATACTGGAATTCAAATACTTAAACCATTAGAATTAGAGTTCCAATAAGCTTTAAAGATATTCTCCCTCTCTCCCAGTTTGTGCATGATTGACTTTCCTTTGTGCTCTGTCCCAAAAATATGTATGATTTCCTAATTTGATTTCACTAACTTTTTACTTTCCCGCTTTATCCTTTTATCAATCTTTTCACCTTTTACCTTCGTGGACCCGTACTATTATCTATCTTTTCAGCTTTTACCTTTGTGGACCAATACTTTTATCTATCTTTTCACCTTTTTTCTTCTTTCTTGGGCTACAATTGTAAAATAACAACCACACCATTTATGTTCTTAAAACCCGTGCCCAACCCAAATGCATCTTACGTGTTGGGGCGGAAGGAGTATATATTTTGCGCAGAAAAGTTTGAACAAATTTTCCATATAATCACATCAGCAAACTTACATAGTAGCTGATCTAGATAAAAAATGAGTATGAGACTATGAATCAATCTTCTTATTACCTTTCATTCATCTTTTGTGAGGACACCAGAATTGTTAATGAGCTAATTCTTACTTCCATTATGTATTCAGCCGGGAGTAGCTGCAAAACACACTAAAGAAGGAACTGAGAGCTCTGCTTTCTGGTTTGCTATCGGTGGTAAACAAAGTTACACCAGCAAAAAAGTAGCGTCAGATGTTGTCCGTGATGCTCACTTATTCACATATTCTATCAATAAAGGTATTGCTTTTATGAAGTACTACAAGACTTTATTTGTGCCACTCTCTTTCCATTCTTTCTATTTTTGTATGCTCCATTCTAAAAAAGTCATGTTTCTGCACTGACATTTTTTTATTATATGCTTCCACGTGGACCCAGGAAAATTTGAGGTTAGTTCTGGAACTTGAGGTTAAATTCTTGAATTTATTTCCATTTATTAAGTATTAATATTTCATAGCATTGCTCCTTCTCAATGCCCTCACTCGTAAGCCCATTATTTTTCCTGGTCAGGTTGAAGAAGTATACAACTTCTGTCAAGATGATCTGTTGACTGAGGATGTTTTAGTATTAGATACACATGCAGAAGTGTTTGTTTGGGTTGGCCAATCAACTGATTCCAGTGAAAAGCAAAATGCCTTTGAAATTGGGCAGGTATTTCACGTGTTACTACTGACATTGCATATTAGTAAGTTTTTTCGTTCTATTAGGTATCAATGACTATTGAGTTTCATTACAGAAATACATAGAGATGGCTACATGCTTAGAAGGATTATCTCCTATTGTTCCCTTGTATAAAGTCACTGAAGGGAATGAGCCTGGCTTCTTTACTACGTTTTTTTCTTGGGATCCTGCAAAAGCCGTGGTATGTTGCAATTTCGAACTCTATCTTATAATCTGAGTGTTGCATTCGTTAACTTTCTTAATTTGTTAATTGAATGACTCTTTGAGGTAATTGTTATCCTATGCTAGTGTCGGTTTTTCTCATATTTGGTGCACAGTTAAAGCTTTAAATAAACATGAAGAGATAGAAACATAAATGTGGAGGGGTGTCAAGACTTTCACAGTTTCATACTGTGAAGGGGTTTGGTTCATGCCTTCATGGGATTTCATGGATTGGACTACAAATGGCCTCGGTGGAAGGATGGCATATATAATTAGTTATCCCATTTAATGTTGAACTAAACAACCGCTGAAGAGTGCTAGCCAGATAGGATTTTATCAAACTGTTTCAATGAAATTTTTATATTTATGATAAGGAATTTGTTGTTGATGAGAGGGAATTTACTTGATCTTAAACTATAATTATCTTTCCTGTTCTTGTAAATGACTGAAGATAATTTTTTATTATTGCTTGTTGATGTAGGATTGGAAGAAAAACTCGCAGTTAAGTATGATAAAGGGTAGCTATAATTACTAGGTACTTATATAAAAGGTATAAGTGGAAAGAGGAGTTCCATATTCTTATAATGACAATAAATGATTTGTTAAGTTGCAGAATAAAAGCCCAGCCACACCACTTGGGGAAAATATTGGGGGTAAAAGAATATTTTCCTGTTTCTATATTGACACATAAATTAACAGACCGTTTCTTGACGTAGATGTGTGTGCCTTGTCAAGTATCGTGTAATGTTCTCTTGCTCACTTTTCTATATCGCCTCTCACAAACTCAGCTTCAAGTGCCTTTTCATTTAATTTCCTCTTAATGGAACCAGGCACATGGAAACTCGTTCCAAAAGAAGGTTATGCTACTCTTTGGAGCAGGTCATGGTTCGGAGGTAATTGCTAGATATGATTTGCATTCAACTGTTTCTGTAAAATAATTTATTTAGATGTACTACCATATATCCATGGCAACAGAAGATAGATTCTGCGTTGGACATAATTAGACCTCCTTTGAATGAGAGCGTTTTCAGGAAATTGACAAGCTAAATGTATTTTGCAATGTATAACTAGCGTTAAAATAAATCAGTGTAAAAAAATAATTTTCACTGCTATAATCTTTTATCCTGAGTCATCTTAAGTAATTCTAGTTTATTGTGGATTAAGCTTGTCTATTGTTTGGCAGAGTTGTGTATTAAGTTGCACATAAACTTCTCACTTCTCACATTTCGCCGTTTCAAAATCTTGGGAGCTCGAAAACTCGGAAACACCAAATTCCTCTTTCCGGGTCGTTTCCATAATTAAGAAGAACCAGGAAACCTGTTTCTCTAACTAATTAGCGTTCCAGAAACTTTGGATTCTCAAATTTATTCTTTTTGATGGAATATTTTTTAATGAAAATTGGTGTGGGTTTGTTATGAGATTCATCACAGCAATATTTCCCTTGTGAATTTCACAACCCAATGCAATGCGAGAAATTTATTGCACTTTACATTTATTATATACCAACCATAATAATTTCTATATTTGATCATGTAGACTATATTTATCTCTTTAATTAGTTAATAAAGTTATATGAATAAAAATAGGTATATATGTATATGAAAAGATATGCATACATACATTTGAAACATATTTATAAATTCATCCTTATATTTTTTATATTGAAGCATTTCCTCCACGTTTCGTATCATATATTTTTCAAAATAACATTTCCTTTGTTTTGGGTTCCCCGTTTCAAGTTTCGTGCTACTTAGGTCATGTGGTATTTTGATGGGATAAGTAATAAATACCCTTTACTTGTATAGTTATATGTTAGAGAACATGTCAACTCTTCTTGGAACGATTAAACACAAAAGTTGTAAAGTTGGAACAAATGTATTCTTTAATTATTTGTCCGATAATATATACCCCTCAATAATGGGACATAAGGGCATATTTGGTTCAACTCTACCATATTTGTGTTTAATTGTTCAGACGAAAATGAGGGTTATATTTATTCTCCGACATATACTATAGGGGAATATTTGTTTCCTCTTCCAAGTATGAATCCCTATCAAGTTAAATGCCAAATGTAAGTTTGTTAGGGTCAGCAAAACATCCTATTTTTTATTTGAAATATTGGCCTTCTGAAGTTTGGAACCCCATTTTATTGAAGACGTGAAGTCTGCATATCATTGTATGGGGGCCTAATATAACTCAGATGTATATTGACATTCCTTTTTTTAACTTCTGGAATCAGCAAAAGTTCAATGGGGCAAATCAGGGAGGACCAACACAACGAGCTTCAGCTCTAGCTGCTTTGAACTCTGCATTTACTTCAGTGTCAAAACCTATTGTGACATCGGGGCCTGCAGGAAAAAGTCCGCGATCAGGGAAAAGTCCAGCGTCACAAAGAGCAGCTGCAGTAGCTGCTTTATCTTCTGTTCTTTCTGCCGAAAAGAAACAGCCTGCTGATACCTCTCCTGCACGATCAAGTAAAAGTCCACTATCAGAATCAAGTCCAGCTGGTATAAAAATTTGAACTGTTAATTCTCTGTTTTTCTGTGTCCTTTTTTGTGATATCTGCATCTTATTATGCTGGTCATTTTTATTTTGTAACATCTGGATGATGATAATATTGACCTTTGCCAACAGTTTCTGGCCTAAGAGATCTTTTTTATATACAAAAATCTAGCATTTTGTTTGGTTTATGTGTGGAACATGTATTGTATAAAGTTTCATTCGGATTACAATGGAAAAAAGGATTTAAAACATTCTATTAGGCCTTTTGTGATTCATTCATAGTTCATTGAAAATCGAATCCATCCACAATCCATTTAACATAGACTGACCATTTTCTTATTACTTTTGTGTAGAGAGATGACTGAACAAAATAGTACTCCATATAATACTTCAACATAATACAGTAATCAACAATGTAATTGACAATAAAATTAATTAATGATTTTTCCTATAAAAGACAATGTAATAAATTAATAGTAAATGTAAAAATTCTCAATAGCTCCCGTTGCATATAGAAGAATGTTTAGATGTGATCTAATTGACTAAAGAATCATTATCCATCCAAATAATGCAAATGGATGGATTGGTGCCAACCCATTGTTTTTAATTCTTAAGTGGATGTTGGATCAGATGGATTTGATGAATTCTCTTGACACCCATACTTCAGTTTTACCGTCATAGTATTTCTGCGATCTGTTAGCTTGAGTCAGGCTTAAATGAGTTGACATGCTAGCCAATTGTTTGCAGCTGGAATGGAAAACGAAAAGGCTTCTTTTGAGGGGTCAGGTTCCAAAGGATCGTCTCCTGTAGTAGCTAAGGAGGAAACAAACGAGTTTCAACCTGTGTTGGAGACCAACAGTAAGGATCATGATGAATTGAAGATAGAGGAAGATTGGGATAACAATGACAAAGAAGGCGGTCAGACCACGTTCAGTTATGAACAACTGAGGGCTAAATCTGACAACCCTGTAACCGGGATTGATTTTAAACGGAGAGAGGTTTTTTCTTTAAAGTTTCATAATCGCACCCAATACCCTACACATTTGGTTTATATCCAAATAATTTGTGTGTGATGGATTTCCAGGCTTACCTGTCTGATGAGGATTTTGAGGCTGTTCTTGGGATGCGGAGGGAAGCGTTCTACAAGTTACCAAAATGGAAGCAAGATATGCACAAAAGGAAAGTTGATCTCTTTTAGATTCCACTTCCCAAAGCCACACTACTTCCACTCTCCCCCTCTTCCAAGACTCATTATTGTTTGATTACTGTTTCATAATCGGATTGCATATCTAGAAATTCTACTATCTTAGTAGTTTCTATTTCTTCCCCTTTAATCTGCCTGCTTAAAGAGTGATTTTTTACTCTCCACTTTTTTTTTACTGCCGTGTTTGTTTCCCCCAAGATCCAAAGATTGCAGTTAAAGGACGTCATGGCAGCCAGGTTGGTTCTTGATTGGTACGGTTTGTGATTCGTTGAAGTTGTTTCTCTCAACCATTTGGTTAGTGATGAAAAGGTTGTAAAATTGTACATGTATTTTCATTGTACTCAGTGTTATTAAATGCACAATACAATAATTGTATATGCATGGAGTTGGATTTCCATTAGTTGTTTTTTCCACTCCCAAGTCCCAAAGTCCCAACCACTTTCCTGACAGTTTGATCCTCTGCATTGGCTGCATCTCATTATAGTTCTAATATTGATATTTTTTCTACTAATATTTCATTAGTAGTGTATGCATATTCTTGAAAATGCTTCACCTTTCCTATTACAACTATATCCTTTTTACTTTTTAAAAAAAATCACTTTTCTTCTCAAACACTATGAAGTATCACCTTACTATTAATCACTTTTCATATAATCTTTAAAAACAATTACTTCTCAAAAATAGAATCAAACACAAACTTTCCCCTAATGTATCCTGAGCTTTCTAGCCCGTGTGATGCACGAACGTCAAGTACTGAGAGAAAATCAAATCTAATTAATTAACTTCTGCTCTAATGTTCAATTTTGTTTGAAATGTATATTTATTCATTTAGTTAAAAGTTTGTACATACGTATGTTCATGGTATGAGAAATTTTGTTCTACAATATTCTATTATTATGTCTTGGCAATTAGTAGATTGGTCATTACCTGATAACCGGTTGTGTTAAATTTGATAACATATTTTTTTAGTAGATTGTAGTAAGATATTTGGTAAGCGGTTAAAATGTAAAATGATCATCAAGGATATGAATTAAAAAAATTATATACTTCTAATATTTCACTAATATTTTTATTACATGTATATACACATCCGCTCACATGCACGTATATATTCATCCAACTTTTAGAATTACCTTTAGTTTATACTACTACTGTAATTTTTATTGTACTAGTTTATAAAAGTGAAATTGATGCAATAAACTTTTACTTTTATTGTGAAATTGATGAAAAGTTCACAATAATCTCAATTACTTAACTATTTAACAAAAATAAATTGAGAGTTAATTGTGCTAACTTCTTCGTTTAGTGTGTGTGTCAGTGTGTGGTGAGGGGGGTCCAAATATAAAAAAAACACTTCCCATGTAAAGTGTGAATAAATCATGTGTATTCAATTATATATCTAATCATTCAAAATAAGTCAACAATGCACTAGATTTGAACAAAAATGTAGTGACAATTTTGTAAATAAACCAAAGTTTTTACCATCACAAAAAAATGCAATAGAAATATTTAGTAGTGCATCACATTTATGAAAAAAATGTATCTGCGCACTTTGCATGTGAATGTTTCTTTTTATTTGAATATGACATTGCATGTACAAATAAAAAAATAGGTCTTAACATGTAAAATGTGGAATATTATCTAAAATCATGGCAATCACATATACAGATATATGGCATTTCCATATAAAAAAGTTGGCATTTTTGTATATGAAACAATGACACTTAAGATAACAAAAAGATGGAAACTTAAAATCAAAATACAAGAAGAAATAGTAAAGAGAAAATCAAAGATGATATTGCCATTTTGATAAAGTTACACTATAAAAATGATATCTATCTATATACACAAGCAAGTAGAAAAGTGTCACTTTCCTATCCAAAAAACACATGACAAATCGGGTTAGAAGTCGGGTCAAGTAATACAACTATCATTAATGTCCTTGTGCTTTGTTGGGAAACTTGAAAATTTTGTATTGCTTATCCCACATCTTATTGTGCGAGTTCTTAGCTTGCGTAGAACCTTACGGGTGATGAAGATTGGAAAATGGTAGCTGGCGGGCTGGCGGCCATGCTGAGCTCAACGACTCTTCTTATCAGTTCAATGGCTTCAACTCTTACTGGTTGATGCATGTTGCCACGAATGTCGAAGAGACGAACAAAGTCACAGAGGTTTTGAGGGAAGCCTCCACCGTTGGTCTCCATGTTTGACGCACTTGTGCTTTAGATGTAGCTTGCTTGCTTATTATGTTTGTAATTAATTTAATATCCCTACATTCCTCAATTGTCTTATAAATGGAGTTTTGCATGAGAATTAAGAAATTGAAAATTGTGTGGTGGAAAGTTATGCAGGAGAGATAAATGTGTATGAATGTGTAAAAATGATGTCAACCATAAATTATTTGCCAAAAAGAAAAGAGTATTATTTTGGAACAGACGAATAGGGAAACCTGGAAGATCATTCAGGGACGGTGTAAATATTATTTTTAGTATTTTAATCTTTTCTTCAAACGCAGTTTGATTTGTTGGATATTAATAATATTTGTATTTAAAAAAATCCTTAAATAGGAGTAAAAAATTGGAAATTCTAAAATATGAGTGTTATGTTTTTATTCCCTAAAAAGAGTAATTATTGCACAGCTTTGAAAATATTCACTTATGGCATATTGGTAGTATACTGCAATGTTTAAAGTATTGTAACGCCAATATATGATAATAAATTTTTAAGACGACAAAGGGGCGACCTTGATCTGATGTGGTCTGTTCTGATAAATGTCTGTTCTCTGTGTCTTTTATAACTATTCAAGTGTGGTCTGATTTTGTCTGAACTGGTCTGGTATGATTTGGTCTGATTTGATCTGATCTGGTCTGATATGAGACTGAAAACAATCCAAGTAAAAACATTTTTATGTACAATAGAGCGCCTTATTGTGGTTTTTTTTATATCGCCTTAGGGGAAAGGGCCAAAATGGACACTGAGTATTGGACATTAAGGTTTTTTTGAGATCAAATAAACATCAAATTAAACTTTTCAGACCTCATCGCCCACCCCCTAACATTTCCCGTTAACATCTTCTCTTCCCCGTTATCACCCTGCGATTAGACCTAATTGATATATACCTAATAAATACAATCTGAGACAGATTATGAAGAAGAAAGCAGTGATGTCGGCTAGTCCTTCAGCATCGAGGTCGTCTGAGGCACGGAAATCTGAGTCCGGTGATTCAGTGAAGCTTCGAAGCATCTATGAGCGACCGTATTCTGGGCGTTCTAGGTTTTGCAGATGCATGAATGCAAATGGAACTCGCGTCAAGGCGCCACTTTGGACTTCATGGACTGACAAGAATCCAGGGAGAAGATTTCATGGATGTCCTAATTATGAGGTATGCTTTTAATTGTTCTTTTCACATATGAGAACTGGAGAAGATCATGAATATGTATAATTTATTTATATTCATATTGATATTCATACTCTTGTGTATACTCAGAAGGATGGATGTGGCTTCTTTGAATGGCATGATGAGCCATTAACGGACAGAGCAAGGCATGTTATCAATGAGCTGAAACGGGAGAATAGGAGGCTCCAATCTGCAATGTTTGAATTGGAATGTGATAGTGTTGCTCAAAAGTTGGAGAGTGAACTTGAAGAAGTCAACAGTATGAATGATGCAGCCCATCTGGAATTGGAAAGCAAAACTAAAATGAAGAATAATTATGTTATTGTAGTGTTGTTATGTGTCCTTATTGTAGTATTATGTGTGTTAGTATGTTAGTTTCAGTTTCTTGTAAAATGGTTTGGTTATGACCTTGTAAACAGTTTGAAAAAATGTTGCTGTAAACAGTGTTGACCTTGTAACACTTTGGTTATTGTAGTGTTGTTATGGTCTGGTTGAATAAACAACATATATAAACAAAAAAAGATGTTATATCATAACTTCACATCATTAGGGATCATAATACTGATTGTTAATGAGGTTACAAAATACAAAAAAAAGCATTATAAGCCCTAATTTAGCACCCCATAATTGCAGTCAGTTCCTTAGATTGCCAGAAGTACTAAAACTTCATACAAAACATCTAAACTTCCAGTGAGTCTTCAAACGACTACATTGCCAAAAAGCTAATAAGCTAATAAATACAAAGTGCCCAAAAGTGTTCTAATGAAACATATGAGTCTTCATTCATCCATATTTGCATCCAAAAGTGTTCTAATGAAACATAAGAGTCTTCATTCATCACTTTGGAATGGAACCCGACCTCCTGATCTGCATCTTCTGTAACAACTGCTTAGAGCTGATTGCTGCATTCCCATTCCATTGCAAACCAGGTGGTTGAAAAGGTAGGTTTGTTGGATTATGCACCTCTGTACCATCACCCTTGAAAGCAGCAAGCACATATGCTTCCTATAATAGAAAGCACATATGGCATGTAAGCATGGTATTCCAGTCAGTTCCCATGCTCTACAAGTGCAGACCATCTTATCCAACACAATTGTGTGCTTATCTGTCCCCTCTCCAATCTCAAACCTCATATCCCCATTAAATATAACATTGCAACCACAAGCAGCCTCCTTATTGTCTTGATAGTACTCCATGCATAAGGGAGACCGATCGTTTATCCACTTATCATGATTTGTCTTGAACTCTGAAATTCTTTTCATTGCCTTCAATCGTATATCTTCCAGCATGGTTACAATAGGTTTTGACCTAGCTTCCCGGATCCATGAATTGAAGGAATCTGTGATGTTATTATCAACCATCCAACATGAACACCTATTACTAAAGTATGCTCTACACCAAGTTTGAACTGGATACTTCAAAAGGTCAGAAGCAGCTTCAGTGCTCAATTTTCCAAGCTTTTTAAGATTCAGCTGCAGCTCTTCTTCATATGTGCTCCAGGAACATATCCAAAACTTTTTGCAAAACTCATTGCCTCTCCATTTTTTTGACCAATTAGCATACACATGTCGGGCACAGAACCTATGCTCTGCATCTGGAATGACCTCTTGAGCAGCACTAATCAGCCCCTTTTGCATATCAGAAATAAGTGTTAACTCACCACCAGTATTCAGGTGTAGCTCCTGAACAAGCCAACTCAAAAACCACCTCCAATTAGACTTATTCTCTTTATCAATGACAGCCCATGCTATATGGACCATCTGCCCATTTCCATCCAACCCCACTGCACTCAGCAGATTACCCTTACAAACACCCTTTAGAAAGCAACCATCCACACCAATGATTCTTCTACAGCCAGCCATCCAGTTCTGCCTCAAAGCAGCAAAGCATACAAACATTCTCTTGAATACTCTCCTCCCTTCTTTCAATGCTTCACTGCAGAGTTCAATTTCAGCTTTTGAACCTGGATTACTCCTCTTTAATGTGGCAGCATATGCTTCTAGGTACCCAAACTCAGCCTTATAACTACCATCCATTTCTTGAATAATCAACCTTTTAGCCCTTTTACATTTATACAAGCTAACATTTATCTTCAACTTCTTCTCTGCCTCCTCTTTCATGTCAGCAACTCGAAAGCTAGGATTTCTCTCCAGGTGCCCTTTAAAGTAATTTGCAAGCCACTTTTGAGTAGCACTAGGAATAGAATAGTGTCGGAAACACTTGTGCTCAGTGTTACAAATCTTCACTGCCAACCCATAGTTCTTCCCATCTTGAGAAATCCATAATCTAAATGGGCAGCCTTCCTCATTCAAACATTTAACAGCCAGTCTATTCTTCTCATTTGGTTTGATTTTCAGCTTGTAACCATATTTCACACCATAATTAGCAATTGCAGTCCTAGCCTCTTCAGCATCTGCAAAGGTCATTCCATTCATAAAACAATCTGACCCATCTGTTGCATTGTAATTGATTGTACCATCATTATCAGAGGATGGATCAGAATTGTTGCTCTCTTCATCTTCTGAGCCTCTATTTGATTCTTCATCTGTAACATACCCATTTGGGACACCACTTGTATTCACTTCATCACTTTGGTCTCTCCAATCTGTATTGGCAGACTCATCACCCACCCCACCATCATTCTCATCACCAATGTCATGGTTACCAATTTCAGAAAATGAACCTTCTATCAGGGGAATCAAAATGGGTTCGTCCAGTTGATGGTCAGCATATAGCTCTATAGTATCAATCCAAGAAAATCTCCTTATACGATTTAACACTTTCCTTATAGTGTCATCATCCTGAACTAAGAAAAGTCCATTGTCCAAATCCTTTCCAGGTTCTAAAACATATATATTTTTCAGTGTTTTAAACCCCAAGTCATCCTTGTATTTTCTTGAAATGTCATGATAACACATATAATCAGGGTCAAACCCATAAACTGTATCAGCGTCCCCATTCACATACTGTAACTTTGGTTTCATAACCCACCTCCCGCTATGGTTAAATCTGAGATTAACCAACCCATTCATTGTAACAAACTAAAACAACACTCAAATATTACCTCAGATTAGTCGTACGTATTGTAACCTTGGTCGTGCAGTTGAACACCTTCTAATCTTCTCAACTCACTCGCACAATCTCACACTTATTAGCCATGGAAGTGAGTTAGGGTTAGAAATTTCAATTAGGGAGATTGTAATCGCAGGGTGATAACGGGGAAGAGAAGATGTTAACGGGAAATGTTAGGGGGTGGGCGATGAGGTCTGAAAAGTTTAATTTGATGTTTATTTGATCTCAAAAAAACCTTAATGTCCAATACGCTCTTCATTAAAAACCTCAGTGTCCATTTTGGCCCTTTTCCCTATCGCCTTGTTATGGAATTATCAAAAGCAAAAGGGCATCTTTAATAAATTCGATTTCCTTCCATTTCCACCCGCTCCCAATTTTAACTTTACCCGTAAAACCCCATCCAGTATAGAGGGGGGTTTAGCCTTTGGCCCAATGGCTACCTTCCCCAACAGCTTAAGCTTAAGCTTAAGCATTCACAGTCCCGACTCAAAACCATCACCGTCGTGCAAACCCAAACTCGCACCGAATCAAACTGGGCGCAGAGGGTCAGTCATCTACAGCAAAAAGTCCAAGAACGAAGATGCATTCAAGGAGAAGAAGCAGGCTGTCGTGGACTACGACAGAGGGACCCACCAGGTTTCTGTTCAAATCGACGGCCTCAGGAAATCTGACTTGCCGAAACGGAACCGTTTGCGGGTCGACGGGGACGGGTTCCAGAAGGACTGGCCACTTTCTGAGGTTGTTGCCAATATAATGAAGCTCAATCACTGGGAAGATATTGATGGCCTTTTAAATCGGTGGGCCGGTCGCTTCGCCAGAAAAAATTTCCCAGTTCTTATAAGGGTAATTCCAACAGAAGTGAAATATAATTTTGTGTTAAGTTTTCTCATAATATTTGAAAGGATTATAGTTGCTTTGTTAAAATAATGATATAACAATAACAATAACTTGGTAATTTTGTATTAATTAAACATCTTACTTTGTAATATACTACGTAGCTTTCTCACAGAGACCGTGCTCACAGTTCAGGCAAAATCAAAATCTCAAGTAGGATAAGTTGAAGTGCATTTCTTTTTGCTGATTTGATATTCACTAGTTATGTTTGTAAGACCCCTGTTAAGGTCATTTTAAGTGTATCCCTCTGGGAAATGCTTGAGCGTTAATGACACAAAACTATTCTTCTTGATTTTCATATTCGTTGTAGTCCACTAAATCATCAAAGGCTATTTTGCATCTCTAGCCGGTCAAGTAGTGGCCAACAACAATTCTTCATCTCCCTTATTGGGTGTTGCTTGGTTATCATAGATATTCTCTTGTGATAAATTGCTTTAACATAGTTTGATGGAAATCTCTCTGAGTTATTACTTCAAATTGGTATAGGAAATTACACAGCTTGGTTCAATAGAGCATAGCCTTCATGTTTTCAATTGGATGAAGAACCAAAAGAACTATTGTGCACGCAATGACATTTACAACATGATTATCAGGTTACATGCAAGGCATAACCAAATTGACCAAGCTCGCGGCTTGTTTTTTGAAATGCAAAAGTGGAGGTAAGCCGGTAAGCTTCTTATTATTAAACATATTCTGTTCTTAGTCGTATAGTTATCTCCAAAGTATTTGGAGTGTCAAAATCAGTTCTATTATTAGTACATCCTTCTCGTTTTTATCTTTGTACTTTACTTTTAGAGCTGCCCCTAAACAATCTTCCTTTTCCTTTTTAATGTAGTGCATAATGTTCAATTCTTTTCTGCATAAATCTTAATCAAACAATTTTTCCTTTCTTAAGTTCTATGTGAAGTTAAACCAAGAACATTAAGAGGGTAGTGGCGGAGCATTATTTAGTTGAGAGACAGATTCCAGCATGCACTACCATTAGTCTTTTGTTCAGTGATTTTTCAAGTGATTCTGTTTTCGAAGATATACAACCATTAAACTGATTTTATCATTTTTTAAGCTAGAGCTAACTATGTCTTTATAAGGAAAAATTCCCGAAATAGGAGTTAAAACAGTGTGGTCCCTAAATAGAAGTAAATCACTGTCATCATGAACTCATACTACCATAATTTGGCATCATCACTTATCTGGCATTAGTGTGGCGTTATGAATGCCACAATATGCAGGAGTCTCCAAACATATCAGTAATTACTCCTATTTAGGTGAAAAATATAGCACTCATATTTAGGGTGTAGAAAAATGTAGCATATTCATGTTATTTTATTATGTGTACATCCGGAACTGTATAGATAGGAAGTAGAGTTGATTTAGGACTCTAACTCTTAGATTAACACGCAGTGTAGATAAGAATAGATAGATCCTAAATATTAGGATCTGTAACAAACCTTAGCTTATCTGTAATTTTGTATTTATATCATTGCCGGATGGCTCAATAATACATGGAAGATTAATTCTTCAAACCTACATGGTATCAGAGCTTCGGTTTAAACAATGGTAGAAACCAGTGAAGCTGATTCCTCACACACTACCAACCCTAACTCCCAAATTAGCTCTATGACAAATTACCAGTCTCCTATTCATTCATCTATGATAATCACTAGTCATAGATTGAATGGAACAAACTATCTGGAGTGGTCTCAATCTGTCAGACTTGCAATTGATGGGAGGGGAAAGCTGGGTTACATCACAGGAGAAATCCAACCAAAAATACCTGCAGAAGAAGGGTACAGTACATGGAGGTCAGAGAATTCACTCATAACAGCTTGGCTTCTCAACTCCATGGAGCCCCTAATTGCCAAACCTCATATGTTTATGAAAACTGCAAAGGAGGTATGGGATTCTATTAAGGAAACTTATTCAGACCTTGAGAACTCTTCTCAAATTTTTGAACTCAAAACCAAATTGTGGCAATCTAAACAAGGAAATAGGGATATTATTTCATACTACAATGAAATGGTATCTCTGTGGCAAGAATTAGATCAATGCTATGATGATGAAGAGTGGGAGAGTGCTAAGGATCTGGCCAGACATAAGAAAAAAGAAGAGAATGATAGGGTCTATATGTTTCTAGCAGGGATCAATAGGGACCTAGATGAAGTTAAGGGGAGGATACTTGGAAAAAAACCTCTACCTTCTATCAGGGAGGTATTTTCTGAAATCAGGATGGAGGATAGCAGGAAGAAGGTCATGTACAACACCCCAGCACCTAATGAGGAACCTGAGGAATCTTCAGCTTTGGTGGCCAGAAGTGATGACAACAAGAAAAAACCTTGGTGTGATCACTGCAAGAAACTGTGGCACACAAGGGATACATGCTGGAAACTCCATGGAAAACCACCAGGAGCTGGGAAGAAGAAAGTAGAAAGGGCCCTACAAACTACTGTGACTGAGACTCAACAAGAGGCAGGAGTTGAACCTAAACAGCTACCATTCACTCAGGAACAGATAGAGTACCTACTCAGATTCATACCTACCCAGAAAATCTCCAATCCTGAAAACCCTACCTGTTCTTTTGCCCAGAATGGTAAAATAACATCATATTTTTGTTCTGAAAAAACTAAAAACACCTGGGTCATTGACTCAGGTGCAACAGACCACATGACCTATATTCCAAAGTTTTTTTCTTCTTATCAACCTTGTGCAGGAGATAAAAAAGTTAGAGTTGCAGATGGCTCTTTCTCAGCCATAGCAGGGATGGGAAATATTAAAATTTCCTCATCCATTAACCTTTCCAAAGTCTTACATGTTCCTAAACTTTCCTGCAATCTTATCTCTGTTAGCAAAATTACTAAAGATCTTCAGTGTTGTGTAAAATTTTTTCCCTCTTATTGCATTTTTCAGGATCTGGCATCAGGGAAGATGATTGGCAGTGCTAGAGAGGAAGATGGCCTCTATACTTTTGATGAAGGAACACAATTGAATAAACAAGGTCAAGAAAAAACTTGTTTGCAAACTGTTTTTCCTTGTAATAATGAAGTGTACCTAATGCACTATAGATTAGGTCACCCAAGTTTTTCCTACTTGAAAATGTTGTTTCCTAAGTTATTTCTTAATAAAAATCCTTCATCATTTCATTGTGATATGTGTGCACTTGCCAAACATCATAGGAGTTCTTACATCCCTCATAGTTACAAACCAACTAGTCCTTTCACTATTGTACACAGTGATATCTGGGGTGCATCTAGAGTTTCAACTCTGAAAGGAAAAAGGTGGTTTGTAACTATCATAGATGATCACACAAGGGTCACATGGGTGTTTTTACTTAAAGAAAAATCTGAGATTGAAGAGGTGTTCAAACAATTTTACTCAATGATCCAAACTCAATTTAACACTAATATCAAAATTGTGAGAAGTGATAATGGACTTGAGTATTTTTCTAAGAAGTTAAATATTTTTTTTGCTGAAAAAGGGATTGTTCATCAAAGTTCCTGTGTAAATACTCCTGCTCAGAATGGAATAGCTGAGAGGAAAAATAGACATTTACTTGAAGTTACTCGTGCAATAATGTTTTCTGCCAAAATTCCAAAATATTTATGGGGAGAAGCTGTTTTACATGCTACCTATCTAATTAATAGGATGCCATAAAAAACTCTAGGATTCAAAACTCCTATTGATACTCTTCAAACTTATTTTCCTGAAACTAGACTAATTAACTCTCTTCCCATAAAATTTTTTGGGTGCACAGTCTTTATTACCAATCCTGACAGAACTGCAAGTAAATTTGACCCTAAGGGAAAAAAATGTGTTTTCTTAGGACTCTCTTCAACTTAGAAAGGCTATAAATGTTTTGACCCTATAACAAAAAAGATGTTTATAACTATGAACACTGTTTTTGTAGAAGATCAACCTTTTTTTGGTACTCATCTTCAGGGGGAGATTCCTAATGAAGATGGTAATAATGTGTCACATATCCTTGAAAAACTAGAACCTCTTGACATTAATCTAGATGCACAGTATAATAGACAGTTAGATGCACTAGAAAATAGTCAAGAGTCAAAAGAAAATGAAAAACTTTTTTCTGAAACAAGGAAAGATGATGAACAACAGATAAGTAAGTTTTTTGGCAAGGTTTATGAAAGGAAAGTTCCAAATCACAGAATAGAGGACATCCCTGATCCTGCCACTGTCAATGAATCTGACTCAATGCCAGAAAATGACAAAGGTAATAATTTCAGTGTTAAATACCCTATCTCAAACTATCTGTCCTATTCTCAGTTATCTACATCATTTGCAGCTTTTACCTCTAGCCTTTCCAGTGTCTCTATTCCCTTAACCATACAGGAAGCCCTATCTATACCTGAGTGGAAGAAGGCTGTTTTAGAAGAAATGAATGCCCTTGAAAAGAATCAGACATGGCAGACTGTAGAGGTACCCAAAAATAAACCAAGGGTTGGATGCAAATGGGTGTTTACTCCTAAATTCAAGGCAGATGGTACACTTGAAAGATATAAGGCCAGACTGGTTGCCAAAGGATACACACAAACCTATGGCATAGATTATACAGAAACTTTTGCACCAGTTGCAAAATTAAATACTATAAGGATTCTACTATCTCTAGCTTCTAACCTAGACTGGCCTCTTCAACAGTTAGATGTGAAGAATGCTTTCCTAAATGGGAAGCTTGAAGAGGAAGTATACATGAGCCCTCCTCCTGGGTTTGAGGAACAATATGGCTCAAAGGTGTGCAAGCTAGAGAAAGCCTTATATGGGCTTAAACAGTCCCCAAGGGCTTGGTTTGAAAGGTTTACTCAGTTCATAAAGAAGCAGGGATTCAAACAAGCCCAAGCAGATCATACACTATTCATGAAATTCTCCATTAAGGGAGAAATTGCAGTACTAATTGTTTATGTGGATGATATAATTCTTACAGGAAACTATTGTGAAGAGATTGAAGACTTGAAGAAGAAGCTTACTCAGGAATTTGAAATCAAAGACCTGGGAGAATTGAAGTATTTTCTTGGCATGGAGATAGCCAGATCAAAGAAGGGAATTGTGGTATCCCAAAGGAAGTATGTACTAGACCTACTTCATGAAACAGGTATGAGTGCATGCAGACCAATAGATACTCCAATTGACCCTAATCAGAAGTTAGGAAATGTCAAGGAAGGAGTACCAGTTAATATTCACCAATATCAAAGATTGGTGGGAAGGTTGATTTATCTGGCACATACAAGGCCAGATATTGCCTTTGCAGTCAGTATGGTTAGTCAGTTCATGCATAATCCATTCCAAGAACATCTAGATGCTACCTACAGGATCCTAAGATATTTGAAAAGTTGTCCAGGGAAAGGATTATTTTTTAAAAGAAGTGACAATAGAAGTGTAGAAGCCTTTACAGATGCAGATTATGCTGGGTCAATAACTGATAGAAGGAGGTCTACATCTGGATATTGTACTTATGTATGGGGGAATCTGGTGACTTGAAGGAGTAAGAAGCAGAATGTTGTTGCCAGAAGTAATGCAGAATCTGAATTTAGATCTATGGCTAATGGAATCTGTGAGCTACTTTGGATCAAGAGAATGATGACAGAGTTGAATATGGAAATGAACCTACCTATGAAATTATATTGTGACAATAAAGCAGCCATTAATATTGCTCACAATCCTGTGCTACATGATCGTACTAAACACATTGAGGTGGACAGACATTTTATCAAAGAGAAGATTGAAGCTGGAATTGTATGCACACCATTCATATCTACTAAAGAGCAGACAGTTGATATCTTTACAAAGGGGCTGTTTAAACCAGTGTTTGAGTTTCTTATAAGCAAGTTGGGAATGTATGATATATACTTACCAACTTGAGGGGGAGTGTAGAAAAATGTAGCATATTCATGTTATTTTATTATGTGTACATCCGGAACTGTATAGATAGGAAGTAGAGTTGATTTAGGACTCTAACTCTTAGATTAACACGCAGTGTAGATAAGAATAGATAGATCCTAAATATTAGGATCTGTAACAAACCTTAGCTTATCTGTAATTTTGTATTTATATCATTGCCGGATGGCTCAATAATACATGGAAGATTAATTCTTCAAACCTACATAGGGAAATTTCTGTTTTTATAACTGAGTTTAAGGTGGGTTTCGGCAGTTTAGTGCTGGGTATTATCACAACAACAACAACAACATCCAAGCCTTAATCCCAAAAGAATTTGGGGTCGGCTAACATGAATCGATCTATGATATCGACGCAGTGCTGGGTATTATTGTGTAAATAAAATCCTTTTTGGTCATTTCTTTCTTTCATCTCATTTTTAGATTTCCAAAAGTAATATTGCATTGGTTTCTTTCAAAAGCCATGCAAATGTATCTGCTCAACAATGGAAGACGGGGATTGTGTATTGACACCTGGATATAAAGGAAGCATATGGTACTCTCATGATAATTGCAAAAGGAAACTACAGTTTTTGGTATCATTTATTGCAGTCAGAAGATTGTTTCATTTTTTGTACTGGAAAATAATAGACCTTAAATTCCAGTTCTGTATTATGCCACCCAATTAGAGTGGTTAGAGGACATATAGTTTCATAGTTTATACTTATTGACTTCACCACAGATACTAATTGATATGCGACCATTTGTTCCTTTTAGGTGTCATCCTGATGCTGAAACTTACAATGCTCTCATCAATGCACATGGCCGAGCTGGCCAGTGGCGTTGGGCAAAAAATATCATGGAAGACATGCTCCGTGCAGCTGTGTGTGTTTGTTTTCCTTCCATAATTATATTCGGAGTATTTGCTTATGATGTGAGCTTCTTTCATCTGTTTTTCATTTTCCAACTGCTATATGTTTTTTTTTGGATATTGTAACAGATTCCCCCAAGTCGGTCAACATACAACACCTTGATCAATGCATGTGGGTCCAGTGGAAATTGGAGAGAGGCCTTGAAGATTTGCAAGAAAATGACAGAAAACGGATGTGGGCCCGATCTGGTGACTCATAATATTGTGCTTTCTGCCTATAAAAGCGGGGCACAGTATGCTAAAGCACTGTCTTATTTTGAACTAATGAAAGGAACCAACATCCGTCCTGACACTACAACCCTAAATCTTGTGATCCATTGCCTAGCAAAGCTCGGAAAATATGATCAAGCTGTTGAAATTTTTAATTCAATGCGAATGAAGAAGGCAGAATGCAGTCCTGATATTGTCACATTCACTAGCATCATGCATATGTATTCTACTTGTGGACAGATTGAAAACTCTGAAGCTGTTTTCAAATCTTTGCTTGCAGAAGGCATGGAACCAAACATTGTCTCATATAACACACTATTAGGTGCTTATGCTGCACATGGGATGAGTGAAAAAGCTTTACTAATTTTGGATGAGATGAAACGTCGTGGAATTCGCCCTGATGTTGTATCCTACACATCTTTACTCAATGCTTACGGAAGATCACAACAACCTGAGAAGGCAACAGAAATATTTGAAATGATGAAGAGAAACAACTTGAAACCAAATTTAGTGAGTTACAATGCACTCATTGATGCCTATGGTTCTAATGGTTTTCTTGCTAAAGCTGTACAAGTGATGCGTGAAATGGAGCAGAATGGTTTGCACCCGAATGTTGTCACGATTGGTACTTTACTTGCTGCGTGTGGGCGATGTGGTCAAAAGGTGAAAATAGATTCCATTCTATCAGCTGCTCAAATGCGTGGCATCCAGTTGAACACTGTTGCCTACAATTCAGCTATCGGAAGTTATTTGAATTTTGGGGAATATGAAAAGGCTTTGAATTTATACAGTTTGATGAAGGACAAGATGCTCATGCCCGACTCTGTTACGTATACTGTGTTGATAAGCGGATGCTGCAAAATGTCAAAATATAGTGAGGCACTTGTGTTTCTTGATGAAATGATGCAAATGAAAATTTGTATGTCAAGGGAAGTATATTCATCTGCAATTTGTGCATACAGTAAGCAGGCAAGTATCTGAGATGCTTGTGAGTGTAAAGTAACAAGTTAACAACAAATTACTGATTTCAGTATTTCACTGATATGGTTTTTTTTACTTACAGCTTGATAGTTATAATTACCACTTCCTCTCTCCTACAAAAAGAGTTCTATTTGACCAAAGTGTTGTCCTTGTCAAAGTGCAACTGTTATAATTCATAATTGACACATATATTGAAGAGGCTTTTTAGGGTTATCTAAATTTGTCATATTAAACTTGTTTGTTAGTACTTAATTTTGGATTTTTTTGAAAAATAATCCTCATATAATTAAACAGTTTTTTTTGGGGAATTTTTATTTATAGAAAATGACTCACCGCACCTCCTCTCATTCTCTCAGGGTCAACTTGCTAAGGCAGAATCTATGTTCACCATGATGAAAATGGCTAGCTATCAGCCTGATGTCATTGCATATACAACAATGCTACATGCTTACAGTGTTACAGGTGAGTTACTGTATGCTCCATATGCCCAAAACAAAAAAGATGCACATCTCAAAACTTATTTTTTTGTCCCAAAACAAAAGTTATTTTTCATTTAATCTAGTGCAACTTTTCACAATAAAATGTTCCAAAACAGTGAAATACGCTAAATAAAGTTAAGCAAACAAATAAATTTAAAATAGAAATAATTTTCAAGATTCACACATCACATAAATTTAAAATTTGGGCATTGATGAAAAATAACTCTCTTTGTTTGGATGAAAGGAGTGCAAAATAAAGTGTTTTATATGATGGAAAAATACCATACACGCAATCATGCTACATGTATATGTTACATGTATCTGTGTCCCCTGGAAAACATGTGTAAATTTATTTTACAGACAATCTGGAGAAGGTTTTCACTGTATTCCAAGAAATGGAATCAAATAATGTTATTCCGGACTCTATTGCCTGTTCATTTCTTATGCGGGCCTTCAACAAAGGATGCCAACCAGCCAGAGCTCTTATTGTGGCAGAGTTCATGCGAGAAAGGAGCATCCCTTTTATTGATGCTGTTTTCTTTGAGATGGTTTCTGCATGCAGCATGTGAGCCCTGTTGAGCAGCATTAATGACCTGCATATATTGATGCTTATAATTATGCTTCTGTCACTCTCTGCATTCGTAAAAAAATTGAATTTCAAGCTTGGTTTTTTTCCAAAATAGTGACCTATGATCCCCACCATATATTTCGATATAAGCTCAAATATTAGTGAAAAAGAGCTTCACCTAACATAAAGCAGTTTCCAATATTGAAAAAGAGCTTCACCTAACATCAAGCTTGGTTTTCAGAATTCTTCTCTTTGGTCTTACACATCACACCTGACTCTTAAGTTCTCTATCATATAGTAACTAATTCGATGTTTGCACTTACAACAAAGCGTTTGTGGATGAATTGGTTGCACTAGACTTCTATTGGTTCTTAAAAGATGGCTTCTCTCATGAACTATTGTATAAATATTTAAATCCCATTTCCCAAGAAACTAAATTGTTATTATATATGTATTCAAAGATTAAGAGACTGGGAAATGACAAGTGAAATTATTAAATTGATGGAGGCATCACTTCCTGGCATCTCAGTTGGAATTCTGAACCAGCTTCTTCTGTGTATTGGAAAATCCGGCAAGATTGAAACCATGATGAAGGTAGTTTAGAAGTTATCAAGTATGTTATTTGAATCATTGAAAAGGTCGAAGGTATATTCTCATACATTCATTCATGTGTAGTTCTACTACAAAATAGTTGCATCAGGTGCAGAAATCAACTTATCCACGTACTCAGTTTTGTTGGAGAATCTTTTGAGTGCTGGAAATTGGAGGAAATACATTGAGGTGACTTGATAACTTCTCTATTATTTTATGAAAATATTCTACTTTTGGTCCCACAACTATTCTTATTCATCTTTTCCACTTCTAGTGCACTTCTATGGAATTGTTGCACTTTGGTCCTTTCAATCACTTATTCGGCCAAATCCCTACAATTTCCAGTTAACTTCTCATCGTATAGTGATCAGAAAGACCAATAGTGACAACACAGAACTTATGGTGTTATGCATTAAAAGTGGACAAAAATGAAATTTGTGGACCAAAATATAAATGACCTTAGTTGTGTGACCAAAACTGGACTATTTTCTTGTTGTATTGCCATAATTTAGCATACATATTATATTTAGGAAATAGAAACTACATTGCTGCTGAACATTATTTCCAGTGAATGCTGTGGTATGAAATTGGGCAGCCAGAGAGGTTTGGTGGTTAGGATGAGCAAATCTTAACTTCCAAATTTTAGTCCTTCAAGCCCAACCCAACTAACATGAATTTGGATTTTAGTTCACTTTTCATGTATTGGATATGGAGTATGGACCGTATGGTTGAGTAGCCCAACCCAACTTTCCATGTTTGAAATCATTACTAAAATTTGGGGTAAAGAACATTATAGAAACTAGAAATAATAAGAACATTCCTTGACATTTTACTTAAAGAAGATAACATTAAATAGATACTCCCTTCGTCCCACTATAATTGTCCCATTTTTCATTTTCCGGTCCGTCCCACTAAATTTGTCCCATACCATATGGTAATTTTTGTGTGGCTCTAATTCATTCTTTATTCTCACTTTATCAATTCATTATTAACCACATAACTCTACTTTTCTTTAAAACCGCGCATGTCTTCTTTGTCCCAATCTTAGGGGGACAGAGGTAGTATAATCTAACAAATCAGTTCTTTAAATGCTTGGAAGATGCACTTGACTCACTTCCCAACCATTGCTTGGACACAGGACTAAAAGTTGGGTTGGTCCCCTTTCATTGTTCACAAATTCATGCTCCAACTTGTTGACTTATCCAAATCGGTAATTATTTTCTATTTTTGAAAACTTCAATGGTTTGACAATGCTTTCATGCAGGTGATGCAGTGGATGGAGGAGGGAGGAATCCAACCTTCAAAGGAAATGTACCAAAACATACTCATCTTTGCCAAGAGGAGTGTCGGAACTGAGTATGGTGCTGTAATAAAAGAACGGATACGTATGCTCAATTCTCCTTCGTTATCCAACATTAAATCTATAATCTATATTTTTGTTGCACATATTTATACATATTCCTACTATAAATTTTTACAATTTATAATCTATTTGTGGAATGAGAAATTTCACTTGTCAGAGCAAACAAAATTATGAGGTTGAAGCTTCTATCTGCGGTCTTACCAAAGACATTGTTTGTTAATACGACAGAAACTTTGAGAACAAAATATGGAGAGAAGACAACCAGCGCATCAGGATATATCCGTTCCTCCCACGCATTGACTGACCTGAAAGTATAAGCAATTACTCAAATAGTTGCATCTCCCGGAGGTATATGGATGTATACATGTATGGAGACCAGAAGACCTAAATATGTCACACCTCAATACTTCTTACCAAGGAAAATATTGATTCGTTAATTTTAGCAGGTAGCATGTTAGGTGGGCCGAATGAGGAATTATTGAATTTGCCACAAGCTCAAATGCAGTCTATGTGCAAGGACAAGTATGGAGTTGATCATGGAGTAGCATTCTTCTTGAAAGCCTTATTAAACTTGTTTCTGCAAAGATGTGACGAGTGCTTTCATTGCTTAATGTAAACGTTTTTTTTTTTAAATTTAGAATGTATTTAAGCTGGAATTGTAGCACCATCATATGTAAATAATATTTATAATTTTTGAAAGTTAAACAAATATCTATATTTTTAACAGAAGATCACTAATTTCGGTAGGTTCACACTCATACTGAACTACTGAAAGGTAAAAACTAATTCAGTTTGATCAAAAGGTCCATAAAAAGGTAAACACTACATATCTGCTTTAAGCTTAGTTAGTTAGTAAGTTTACATTACAGAGATAGATATGTTACCCATTGATGGTCTCTTTCATTAAAGCTATAATTGACGTGCTGATGATATAAGCTGCGTTTAGGATATGTTGTTTGGGTAATCTTTGAAGTATTGACACAAATAACTTTGGAAGTTTGGATTATCTAAGGTAGCAGTTAAGATTTGTGTCATGACTGTCGAACCAAATACTAGATTTTTCACTCGTGCGTTGCATGGATCTTATAAGTCAACTTTTTAATCAAACAAGTAATTTTTGATTTCGAATGTTGAATTGTGTAATAATCAAAATAAGTTAGGTTAGAATTGCTTTTTATATGCTGAATTGTGTGGTAATCAAAATAAATATAATTAAAATTACTTTTCTGCATGAATTAACATAAGTTATTCTAGGGAACCATTTTAATTATCAATGGATGAATGTTAACCTGTAAGGGGAGAGACATCTAAACACTTGCTTGTATAAGCTTCCGAAGAGAAATATTATTACCAACTAGGGGTGGACTCGGGCTGGGTCAACCGGCCCGGAACCGGACCGGCTCGCCACTGTGCGGGCCCGGCCCGGTGAACCGGTTGGTTGGCTGGTTCGGGCCACCCGGCCCGGTGGATTTTCGGTTCGGGCTCGGGCCCTTCAAAAGGTGAACCGGCCGGTTCAGGCCCGGGCCGGGCCAATTTTAATTTTTTTTTGAATTTTTTTTGAGTTTTTGGGTTGGGCTGGGTATTTTGGGCCATTTGAGGTGGTTAGGGTTGGTTTGGGGGTGAGGGGTAGGGGTGGGGGTTAACTAGGAAAAGCCCAAAAAAAAAAAAATATACCCGAGGCCCGGCCCGGCCCGGACCCGGGGGTTACCCGGGCCGGTTCCGGACCTCCCATACCTTGAACCGAGGCCCGGCCGGTTCAAGGCCCGAACCGGGCCCGGCCTGAACCGAGTCCATCCCTATTACCAACTATATACTCCAAGAGACTCACGTTTCCGATTTTTCTTCACCAGAACTAAACACTCGATCCTCATATGTGCAATACACATAATATTATAAGTAATCACAAATTATAATACCATGGGAGTGGGTTGATTATTTTTAGAAGGTTCAATGAAAATCTAGAAGACAAAAATCCACTACTGCACCTTCAGTCACACGACTCACAGTCTCACACCAAGCAGCTATTTATATCGATTATTAAAGCTAACAGTACATTATTCAACACATTGTATAAAGATATTATTTTGCTCTTATTTATTGAGTTTAAGAGAGTAGAATATGAGACACAAAGGCTTCAGATATGCTAACGGCAGTCCAGGGTTCTATTGTTCAATACACATGACGGTGCTTTACTGCTTTTTAGGGGGGGGGGACATTAAAGAGATGCTTCACAAAGGCAAACTAATAGATACAAACTTGCAAATATGATAAACTAACTAAGCCAATAATTCGATCATAGTTACTTAGCTCCGGGTATGATGGAAAGACAGCTATAATGCTTTAATTTTATAGAGTCATTCCTCAAGAGAAATTAATACACAAAATTGAATCATCATTTCATATATGAATAGCAGAATGATTCAGTCACTTTAAGCCTTCAAGGCAAATAAAAAACATCTTTTTTGGTACATGAGGGAGAAGAAGATGTAGCTCACAGAGGTCAGAGGCTACATTTTCATTGTATTAATCTGAAGCATTAATGCATACTTGAAATTGAAAATTAAAGTTCGAAAATTCTAAAACAGTGAATCAAATTTGTCTGGAAAAGTAAAAACTCTTTCAAGTGCTAAGCAAAGCATACTCCTATGAGGCTAGCTAGTGAGATCCAACATTTCCACATTGCGTTATATCCTGCAAGTTAAAGGTATGAAAACTATTATATGAGTTGGATAAAGAGAAAAGGTTGAAATAAAGAATGAATAGAATTTGTAACAATAAAAATTAGCATATCTGAAACAAAAGTGAAAGAAGAAAACAACCCTAAGATAATTAGGGTTGATGAAGTTCATAGAGACACGATGAGATTTAAAGCGGTGTTACAAATTCGGGAATAGAAAACTGAGATAATTAAAGTATGAGAGGAAATTGAAATTAAATAACAAAATGGAGAGATGCTCAAATTATCATGAGGCTATGAGAACTGCACTCAAATGCCATGGAAAGCAAATGAAAAACTAATTGCTTAGGTGATTAGAAACATATCTATCTAATAACACTTATAGTTTTAAAACTTCCGGCAAGTAGACTAGGCAAGAATGAATTTCAAATCTTATAGAATATATAATACTCCATCCGTCCCACTAAGATTGTCCCATTTTAACTTTTCAGTCCGTCCCACTAAGATTGTCTCATACCAAATTTGGTAAAGTTTGTGTGGCTCTAAATCATTCTTACTTTATCAATTCAATATCAACCACATAAACCACTTTTTATTGGTTTGCGTGTCACTCCCTCTTGTCCCATTGTTAGTGAGACGGAGGGAGTGACATCTAATGGACCTAAACAATAGCACAACATGCACCCAAACGAATAGATTAAAATTCAAAATATTAGAAAAATCACTCAATTAAGGAAAATCAAACAATCTTCTATGCAACCTACAAAAAAACAATTTTCACAATTGATTATTTAGAGCAGAAAGCCTTAAATGCTTGATTAAAACCAAATTAAATACACTAATATGAACTATTATGTCCTTATAGTTCACCTAAATGTGAATATAGAAAGTGAATTGAATACTGACAATCTACGATACGCACTCATATGAACTATGTAGTCCTTAGTTCATCTAAATGTGAATATAGAAAGTGAATGAAATACTAGTAATTTGATAGGAATGGGCCTAGTATTAGAGATAATAAGTGGGCCTATTAATTACATAATAATAAGGGGCTTGTACTATAAATAGAAAGGGAGGCTAGGCAAATGAGTAGGCAGTTAGTAAATTGGAAATAGACTTTTGGAGAGACTGGCACTCTCGAAATTGCCAGAACCCCCTTCTGTAAAACATTACCCTACTTCAATACAGCTTCTTGATCAATTCTTCGTGATTTCCTACTGTTATTAGTTGAATTATATCAAGGTTCTATCATAATTTACCGAGTCAAAAAACACAATCACACCACTTTTTAGATTTCTCCTCATTGTATATACATCAATTTCATGTAGAGAATATAGCAGGGGGGGAAACTTTTGGTGGACTTGATTATAGACTTATAGTATTGCACTCTAAAAGCCGAGGGTTTGCATGGAATGCACTATTGACAAGAATGTCATTACATACAATTAATCAAGTGAGAAGGATTGAGGAGAAAGTCATTGATAAACACACCAAATGAAGGGGGTGACTACCATTCCATGCTGACGAAAGTCAAAGAATGGCGATTTAATGTGAAGAAAATATAGCAGAAAAAGGCTAATCAAAAGAGAATCCAATCACAAGGGAAGAATATATTATCTGAAAAATGACCTTAGTTTCTATTTATAATCCAAAATATTTCAATTGATTAATAGTGAAGTTAATTTTAACTTGACTATTTATAATGGATTACAGTGAATAGAAAACATATCCAAACAGAAATATAAGGAAATCTATATTATATATAGGAATCATATCACACCCCTGAAATATGTATTTAATGCATACAGCTTTAAGAAAATTGAAAAGAAAACTAATAAAGAATATATTAAATTATGTAAGTTAAAGGAAAGAATTAATAAGAGTTGGAACGAAGTTATAATCTGAGATGAAGTATAAACAGAAGAGCATTAAAATGACTTATATATGCAATCTGTGGAACCTACCTTAGCTTCTCAATTACGATCCATGAGGAAAAAACCCTCTGACGTGGATGCAAACAAAGTAGCGATTGAAACAAAAAAAAGAATATAATCCATTCTTGCAAAAGAAAAGCTGAAATTTTAAGCAAATCCCTAACGATGACACAAAACTGTTGTCATTATTCTGAGTCAGTGTGCTTCTAACTACACAATGGCCATAACCTCAACCCATGAATATACACAGCAAGGAATTCCAAAATTTGAACAGAAAAATGAACTTTAGCAGAGATTCCAACATCATGTTGCTTAATAAAACCATCGAAAGCGTTAATACTATCCCATTTACTCCGTATATCACTATGTCTATCACTTTATTACTAAACAGTGAAAAAACAGTTTCACAATGCTCCAGAAAAAGTGTGGAATGTGAACAGAAGTCCATCCAAGAAGACACAGAATTTGTTATCATTGTTATTAGTTAGTGTATTTTCTATCTGCTCCATTCCTTCTTATAAGACTGCTGAATTGTTCGTAGTGATTCATATAGTATATATATGAATCATATCACACCCCTGATATATGTAAATAATGCATAAAACTAAAGAAAAGTGAAAGGAACACTAATAAAGAATATATTAACTTGTGTAAGTTAAAGGAAAGAATTAATAATAAGAGTTGGAATGAAGTTATAATCTGAGATGAAATATAAACAAAAGAGCATTAAAACACCTTATGTATGCAGTCTGTGGAACTTACCTTAGCTTCTCAATCACGATCCATGAGGAAAAAATCTTCTGGCGTGGATGCAAACAAAGTAGCAATTGAAACAGAAAAAAGAATAAAATTCATTCCTGCAGAAGAAAAGCTGAAATTTTAAGCAAATCCCCAACGATGACACAAAACTGTTGTCATTATTTTAAGAAACATGACAGACCTATTTTGGAATTTTCAAACATTTTACTCCTATTTCGGAATTTTCCCAAATTAAAATATACTCCATACATATTTAGCAACTATACTAAGTCAATAAGAGTTCTGTTGAAACACACAAACCGAATTTCAATATGATAAATGTTTCTTATATAAATCAGATATTAAAAGAAAGTTAATTTGACCGTGCAAATAGTGTATGAGAACCTTATTCTGAACAGATGGAGTACTAATAAAAGAACCATTTTGTGAAGGATCCTCCTCCTAGCATCAGTGCAAAATGGCTATAATAATAGCAAAGAAATTTGAACTGCACAGGTAAAATAGATAAAGAGGAAATTTCAGATTCTGTAAAGTCATCTATTTTAAATACTTTAATAATAAATAGCGTGATAAAGTCTCAATGTTAAAAGTGTAAAGGAGAATATAAAGAGGAGCATGATTGAGTTTTACCAATTAAATATATATAAGAGATTAAGAAGTAAAAAATGTGAGAGTTTGAACAAACATTTGTGACTAACTATGACAAATTCACGATCCAAACTGCAGACCTTTTTAATACTCAAAGTACATTTTGATCATCACTTCATCTTCTAATAAAAAAGAATGTCACAAGTCTTGATTAGACCCAAAAGTTGTAATCATTATTCATTATTATTAGTTAGTTTATTTTCTATCTACTCCATTCCTTCTTATTAGACCGCTGAATTGTTCCTTATTAGACAACCAAACTGCATAGAGAGAACCTTTACCATTGCCCATTGTATAAAAAATCAGATTATATATTTATATAACATACTTTGGAAGTCAAATGTCTCATAAGCATATCTGCATGAAATGCCATTAAATATTTGGCTATGGTATTACACTATTCAAAACACTAATCGTAGTGGTTCTTAAGACTATTTTACAATAAGCTCTATTAAAATAATAGTTAGCATTTGTACTACTATGTCCAGTTCATTCATCATCTCATTCTCTTATGAGAAAGATTGTCACAAGTTTTAAATCCTAACTGAAAAGCAAAAAAAAATCTCAAAAAATAGGAAAATCCCAAAATTTTATGCTTCTGTGGAACCTATGCCGCCTGGGGGTGGAAGATGCGATAAAGTGATGGCCTTAGGGCGCCTCGCGCCTTTGCGCGCCTCAGGCGCGCTTTTTTAAACCAAGCTTCTGTCAACATCAATAGTTGACTATCAAGTCTCAAAGATTTCATGCCTTCATATGATTTCCAAAACCATGTTGATTAAATCAATACAGCCAAAAAAACACCTATATACAAAAGTAAATACATACGAATCAAAACAATGCAAAATTTTTGGGGTGACTTTGCTTTGATTAACTTAAAATAGATCACCTATCACTTATGGCATCGACACTCACTGCCCTCTCAGCTCTAAACTCAGATCTAACTGTTCAACAGCTATCACTCACTTCCTCCATGGATATTAGAATACAATCGACACACCAGGTCAGCAAACACCACCACAATTAGAACCTTAAAATTTAGTAAACATTCCAATCAGATACATTAAGATGAGAGTTTTATCTGAATCTTTTAAGTTGGAAGGAAAAAAACTGAATCAACCATTAGAATGTTTCCTTCTTGATTAACATCACATGTACGATGGCCATATAATTGTTTTATGAATGAAAAGTATCACAATGCGATAGTATACGCAGTTTGCAATCAGAATGAGATGTTTTGTAGATTTTTTTACCTCCAGTTTAAAATTCAAGTTGAATAACTACAAAGTTATAGTCCTTGACCCTTACCCTTCAAATTCTCCACTCACATGACTAATATCAGCATATGAAAGAAACTAAAGGACCTGCAATCAAAGAGCTAATGGAACCCATATGCCATAATCATTTTTTACTTTTTTACTTCCAATTCAAAATTCATGTTCATATTTATTAGCCACAATCAATAATGAAAAAGGTATTGACATCTCATTATCTAGATTCTAGATAAGAATTTACTATAAAGAGATAAAAAAGCACTATCAAGAAACTCACTACCATTCAATCCAAAATTATAAAACAGCAGCTCTGTTGATCATTGAAAAGGTGGCAATCGTTCTGTTAATAATTTCAGGCAAGAAATGAGGATTTGTGACTCTTAGTCTTTGTGCTAATCCTGATTCTTGACTCTCAACTTTAGATGAGTACAATTTATCAGTCTACTAAATTCTACTTATAATCAGGTTTAAACTAATTTAATAAGTTACTCCTCATGTGTGAAGCCAAAGAATGGATGATTTCTTTTTTGAAGAAACCCAAACTTAGTCTATCTTTGAGTAAAAAATGATTTCAAATATAGGCAACCACATACCTTGAAACGTAGCCGTCTCTGAGGCCCTCATTCTTGAAGAAGCAGGTGGTTTCCGCGATGGAGGACACAACGAATTCCCAAGACGAAGCCGAACTAATGATAACTGAATTGAACCAGCTCTGAGATATTAATGACAATTCTTAATGCAGTGCTGACTGCTGAGCAAAAAGAAAAAGAATGGATAAGATTGTCATGAATCTAGTATAGAATCATACCTGAATCCGATAAGCAAATTAGAAGAATAATGGCTTCCAACCTTTTCAAGTCGGCCGGATTTCGAATAGCGAAGAAGAAGAGTTGTTGTTGAGCAAAGATGATGAAGACTATAGAGAATATGGATGAGTCTGCCAGTTGCGCTCTCTTCGTTCCAGAGAAATGGAGTGAACGGCTGATGGTCTGTGGTGAGTGAGAAGGTGATGGAGAAAGGCAATGAAATGGTGAAAGGTTTTATCTGAGAGCCGTGGATCTTTTTTAGATCGTGCAGTTGATGTGGTTTCACACTTGAGCGGGAAAAAATAGTTTTGCTCTTATGTATTAGATTAAGGTCAAAACCCTTCTAGTAATCAAAGCATTGCAATTTTCATATATTATTTTCACTATTTTTGGTAATTAATGCATTTGCCTTATCCTCCAAAGATTGAGATCTTAATCAATATGGAAACTACCCGTGAGGGAAACCACATGTGTGTAACAACTCTCATGTAGTATTACCCTTTAGCCCCTACGTAATATACATAAAAGAATTTTTGATACATTAAATAAATCAAAGAGGCTAGAGTTTAAATCAACCCTGAATACATGATAAATAAACAAAAAAGGTAAAAATTACCTTTCTGTGTGTTGTTTGTTTGTTTGCTTGCTTGGTAGTGAAGAACATCCCATGTCAAAACCTTCGACGGTGCCAACTATCCGCAAACATACATATTAACACAGTTTCTCCAATGTAACTCTCAGTAGATTGCACAAATATAAGCAAACCTCTCTCAATGAAAACTGGGGTAAGTGAGGACGATGTGGGAAAGAAGCAAATGTTTACAACCGTGAAAGTAACAAACTAGACCTGAACAACCTTATCCGGGTGTTGTGTTTTCTGATTCCCTTATGTTCCAATGCCGTAAAAGAGACCTTGTGTGGGCATGAAGATAGACACTCAAGTCACAACCCGTCAAATTCATACCATTTAACACCACATAGGCAAGCTCAGTCCTGTCTTTAGAACAAAGAAGGGATTGGAGCAGCTTATTACAGACACGTGGCATCAAACGTATACCTTTCTCCAAAGTATAATGGAAAACCTCCACAGCCTGGTCCAAACTTCCAATATCAACAAGACTGCTAATCAACATCACACAACTCGGAGCAGACACATTCAGTCCAAACTTCTGAATGATATAGAAAACCTTCACTGCCTCTTCTGGAGTACCTATCTGACAAAGCCCGATCAACCAAATATTATATGGGGCTGAATCAAAGTCTGCCAACTTGGTTTCAATTTCCAGCAACCTCTGGACCGCTTTCACATGCTCCCCTTCCTCCAAATATTTCTCAACCAATTGGATATCCTCTTCATCCCTCGTGGCTTGACTCCTCAAAAAACTCAGCCAAAGAGTAGAAGCTAAAGTGATCTTCCGCCTACGGCAAGACCACGTCATCATGGATTTGTATACGCTTGGTGAATGTACGTTCTTGCTGATATGGTCAAATAGCTTAAAAGCATCTTCTTCCCTCCCTACTCTTTGTAATCCATCAATGAGGGTCCCGTAAGTGACTGAATCGGGGGAATGCCCCTTGATTTGAAGTTCCTCAAAGAGTTTCAATGCACTGTCTATTTTTCCCATTTTGCACATTGTGTTTATCAGAATGTTGTATGTAACGGTGTTAGGGGCAGCTCCACTGTCTGCGAGCTGTATAAGAAGCTTGTAAGCCTTGAGAATTGACCCCGACTCACATAACTTATTAACCCTTGTTTGGAGACTCGCCGTGTCATGAACTGGGTCGACGCCTTGAGAAAGCCGAAGAAACAATGACGGTTTCTTCCCAATCTCCATTTTGTAAAACATGAGCCGGGCTTCATCAATCTCACCAGATTTACAAAGTCCGTCTATAAGGGCATTGAAATTCTCAACAGAAGGAGAGCAACCTAGTTTCTCCATTTCACTGAAGATATTCATTGCTTCCCTCACCATACCTTTCTTGCACATACCACAAATAAGGGAAGTTGTGGTGTAAGTGTCCGGAAAGCAACCGTTCTGTGAAAGTTCAAGCTGAAGAGATCTTGCTTCATCAAGGAGACCCATATCACAAAACCCCTTGATCAGCGTATTGTAACACTGAGTGTCTGGTATAACACCTCTCCCTGTCATTTCTCTCAGTATATCCAGTGCATCCTTCACTTTACCTTCTTGAGATAACCCCTTAATGAGAATTGTGCATAAAACAACATCAGGTGTAATATTAATCTCTAAGAGCTTTTTATATAAACAATTAGCTGCGTCAAACCTCTTAGCCCTAACCAAACCATCAATTAGACAACTGTATCCCTCCAGCCCTACACCATAGCCTTCACTTTTAAAGGACTCGAATAATGCAAGTGCTTCGTCAATCCTACCCGATTTACAGAACCCATTGAGCAAGACATTGTAAGATACATAATCCGGAGTATACCCTCTAGTCTTCATCAAGTTAAACAGCCTACATGCATCCTCTATTTGCTTCGCCTGACACAGTCCAGAAACAATAACAGTATAAGTCATTCTACTTGGCAGTATCCCTCTCGTACACATTTCATCAAACAGCGCAAGTGCATCCCGTGTATTCCCACTCTTACACAATCCATCGATCAAAATGTTAAATGTAAAGCTGTTTGGCGAACAATTTGACTTCAACATCGTATTATAGACGGCTAAAGCTAATATAATTACACCTTTCTGAACCATACCGTGAAGGATGGAATTATATGTAAAAGAATTAGCTTTGCAATCGAAATCTTTCATTCTATCGAAGCACTCAATGGCCAATTCAGCCTTATTTAGCTTCCAATAGGCAGAGATCAGAACGTTGAAAGCATCCGGGTAGATTGGCATTGCAGAACTCTTTACTTCCTCGAGCGTCTTCCAGTATAGATCGAAATTTCCATCATTTGCGATCATATCGGTGATAAAATTAAGCGAATCCAAGCTGCGGAAACGTTTCCTATTTGTTGTCCAAATGAAAAATCGAAAATTCAACTCAGGTTTTTGTAGCTTCCGAAGAGCAGAGGTCACCATATGAGATGATAGGAAATGAGATACCTTTTCAAGAGCGGGTTCCATGGGGGAGACAGTCTCGATGATCTTGATAACCTCGTTGGGAACGAAATCAGGATGTGTGCAACCTACTTTCGGCTTCGTAGTTCGCAAGCGGATTGGAGATAGGAGGAGTTTCATAGTTTGGGAGGATGTTTCCTGGTCAGGGCTGGTCAAAACTTTCTGGTTGTCGGCTTCTCTGCGTCTGAATCCGATTTTGATGACTGTTGAGTGTTGATGAGTTGAGGCATTCCGATCAAGGAGGGCGGTGGGCGGTCGCCTCCTCTCAAGCAGTCAACCAGGCGTAGGGGCGCAGACTCGAGAGAAAGAGGAAGAGCCCGTTCTTATTAAATTTAATTCATTAAAAAATTAAATTTAAAATATACTCCTTATTTTACCTACCTCCATCCCAAATTGATTTGCAAATATGACTTTTCTTGGTCAAATAATTTCATTTTATTTGCTTAATTAGGATGTCAATTTTTAATAATATTCTAATTTGGAGTTTACAACTTTGAAAAGATTTTAATATAGTTTCTGAATATATAAATTTTAATTATTAAAAATGGAATTAATTATCGATAGGGAGCATTGACTTTTTTTATTGGTTGACCAAACAATGTTTACTTTGCAAAACAATTTGGGACGGAGAGAGTATTATTAATAAAAAAAAAGTATATGTAAAATAAGGAGTAGCTAAAATGGTCATCTACAGTAACTTCAGGCTGAAAAGTAACTCCAACCTTATTTTTTCTTATTATTACTTATTTCAGCTCGCGAAACAAAAAGTTACGTGAAAAAGTTGACTCATAAACCGGATAAACCGAATGCACATGTCACACGGCTAGACAAAGCTACGTGTACCACATTTGATATACACCCCAAAAGCACATTCACAATGGAATTAAGTTATATACTTCCTATTTAATTGCAACAATCTACTTGTGGACATACAAGTTTGATCATTATTATCTTTCATTTCTTATTAGTGAAAAAGATAAAAAATTTAGATTTTGAACATTCAGAATGGGAATAATTTAATAATAATTTTTAAAAATTTAATTTATAATACATTAATAAATAAAATATAGTCAAGATAGAATATGTGAATAGTACAAAAAGTCTAATGTTACAACTAAAAGAGAACAAAGGTAGTATATATGTGTGTAGTATTATTCATATTCATAACAGTCCTATTTTAGAAAATTAAGTTTGAGTAGTATATCAGACAGAAGCAACTTGATAATATTTGGCTGGTGGCACGAGGGGTTTATCTCCTAAGCAAGTGACAAATATCTAACAAAGATGACAAATTATATCGTGTGATCGGTCCACCTTCCGCATGGTGTGCCGATCTCACTTTTACAAATTTACGTTCCTTTCTTTTGTTCCCTGAAGCTTCTTCCTTCCTTTTTCTTTTGTTATTCTTTCCTTATTTTTCTTTTCTTTAATTCTTCTCCATTTCCATCAAATTAAAATATTAAAAATTTAATTGTAGTTTTACTTTTCCTTATCTTCAATTTAAATTATAATTGAATCTATTTTTTAATTCTTTATCAATACATAACGAAAAGTTTAATAATCTAAATAAAATAAGTACATTACATTTCATATTCATACACTATTTTTTGTAATATTTTTTTTACATTCATACATTTTTTGTAATATATTTTTATATGCATACACTTTTTCTATTATTTATTTTTTATCACTTTTATATGTTTTTAGAGGTTTTTAAGATATTGAGTTTGTTTATTTTGCTTCTAGCTTGGAGTTACATTTGATAATATACGAAGTTACAACATCTTATACTCCAGTTACAAGTTATTATGCATGAGTTACATCTTGTTATGTGTGATTTACATCTTCTTATACACAAGTGACATACTATTTTGCATACGCGAGTTACATGTAATTATGTGTGAGTTATATCTAATTATTTGTGATTTTTTACTTATATTTATCTTGAACTAATTCAATTATAACTGAATTAATTTTTTTCTTTACCAATTTAATACAAAATTTTATTAATTCACATAAAATAAATATATTGTATTTCATATTCATACACTATTTCTTACGTTGTATACTTTTTTTATATTTATTATACACTTTTTTTGTAATTTTTTTTTATATTCATATACTTTTTCTATAATATATTTCTTATCTCTTTTATATGTTTCATGTGTTTTATATTCATTAAGGTTGTTTATTTTGATTTAAATTTGAAAAAAGATGAGAATAATGCATTTATCGTATGTGTAAGTTATGTTTATAGATAATTTCTATAATTACATTTGATATTTTATGGAGTTACATCTTCTTATGCACGATTTACATCTTCTTGTGCGTGAGTTACATATTTCTATACGCGAGTTACATTTGAGTTTGCCTCAACAAGATACATTTTGCATACACTAAAATTAGATTTTCAATCAACGCGGGTTACATTTTCTGTAATACGAATTACATCACAACATAAAGCCTAATTGAAACAAAAGAATCATTGTTATGCAAAAAAAATTGTTTTCCAAAAAAATATGTGTTTTGGCAAAATATATATTTTTAAAAACATTTTTATGGACTTAATATTAAAAAAATATATATTCACCATTTATGTTAACCCCTGCTATTGAATAAAAAAAATTACTTTTTTTTGCAAAAAAAAAATGAGTTTTTGGCCCAAAAAATGATTTTTTGGAAAAAAAAAAAAAATCATGTCCTTAATATTAAAAATAAAACATATAAACTATTTAAGTAAAGTAATTGAGCAATTAGACTTCTTATTTTCATTAAAATCAATGTTTTATTTCTTATAATTCGTATTAGACAAATTACATTTTGACTTGCTTGCTGTTACATTTCTTATTAATGTGAATTACATTTTGTTACACGCGAGTTACACCTATTCCGCTATTGGGATAATGAAAAAACAAAAAATAAGTTATTGTTCACGCGCGTGAACAGTAACACGTTTTTTTGTGGGAGCAGCCCACGGTATACCAACTGAACAAAGATGTTAGCATGACTGAAAGTTGTGATCTTTTTTCATTCTTTAAAAGAGGTCATCACGTTGTTTTGTATGGTACTATGGTATACCATACCCAGTGTTGAAGTTTGGTCTTTCAAAAAAAAGTTAAAATTTTTATCCACTAATAAGTATTTTAAAAGTATTTGATAATCAAATGCTATGCCTCATAATAAGTATTCAATAATTATATGTGAAATGTTCATATGAATTGCTTGGGTGTGATTATGAATCATCTATATCTGGGGTTATTTGTTTGTGTGTGATTGAAACATTGTCTCTTTTATTACATTATGACAATACACACATTTTTTTACGCACAGGTAATATAAATGAATACACAAACAATTATTGTCTATGCACAAATAAATAACGAACACACATACACTAATTATTGTTACGTGCAGACAAAATAAAAGAACACATAGACAATACTTTAATCACACACAGACAATATAAATGATAACATGAATGATGCTTCAAATACGCACAAACAAAATAAACGAACATGAGCAACAATTATTATCTATGCGCAGAAGAAAAATTACACAGGCAATGTTTAAACCAGGCACCGACAATATAAAAGAGCACATAAACAATTATTTTCTATGCACAGACAAAATAAATGAACACACGAAAAATGTTTTAACAACGCATAGACAATATAAACAAAGGTACAGACAATTATTGTCTATGCACAAGCAAAATAAACAAATACACAGACAATTATTTTTACCATGCACATCGATATAAATGAACACACAATTCTTTTATATTGTCTGGTTAAGCATTGTCGGTGTGTTCCTTTATTTCGTTTGTGCATATACAATAATTGTTTGTGTGTGGAAAACTAATTCGTGCTTTAATAATACTGTCATAAAAGGAAACAAACATAAGTTCCTAATTTTAATTACCTGAAGCTACAAACATAAGATATTTTTGTATGTGTCTAGAAAATAGTTTTATGTGCCCATACATAGATATATTATTATAAGTTCAATGTATATACTTTATTGAAGGTCAAAGCACAAGATAATCAATATTTAGCTCTACGTGTATGTGTGTTATTTGTGAATTGTCTCTGTACAGAAAATATTTGTACATTGATTGTGTATAAGTTTCATCCGTGTAAATATATTTGGAATTAAAAAACTATTACATATCCACAAACAATGAAAATTCAAGCTCTGTATTCAACTTGTTTGAAGTAACATGAAACAACAGAAGTGTTAAAAATGACGCAAAAGAGTCATTGAAAGAGAAGAATTCCAATTGTGACACTTGAATTATTCACATGTTATATTCTAATGTACTACTATCTAATTACAGAGAAAAGACCCATAAAAGTAAGACAACATACAACTGAACTGAACTCATAACTCTCCAAGTCAACAAACAGTGTGTATATCCACAAGGATCATCTATGAAGTAAATTCATCTAAGTCATGCCTCAAGAAGCCCACCCAAGTAGTCCAACTGTCTCCATTGATAATCTTCTTTATTCTGTAAAAGAAATGTAAAACTGAATGTAGAACAAGTACACACACACACACACACACACACACACACACACACACACACACATATATATATATATATATATATATATCAAAGTAATCAAAATTGAAATTAAACAGAAAAGAACACACTAGTCCCTTGTCTTTTCACCTTGCTTTTTGGTTGTAATCAGTGTTATCAAGAAAGGTTAGACAACCCATTGCATGTAGGTTAGGCCTAGTGTGTAAATGATCGGGGGATTGTGCTAGCGTACTCAAATAGAAGATAAAAGAGCATATTATTATTTTTGTACATAAATACATGATGCTTTGATTGGAATGACTTTATCTGATTTTTCTTTGAAAGGAAAAACATTTGATAATATCCTTTAATACAAGTGAGAAGCTACTTACCTAGTTGATAAGATTAAGAAGCTAAATTATACAGAACCAGACGAACCTAAGCAAAGAGAACATGTGCACTTGATGGTGATAATTCAGACACTGAAGCAAAACTCTTTGCCACAATCTTAAGATAAAAGAGCATATATAGTAATAATAGAAGAAATGCCAACTTTCTAACTCATAACCTGGAATCATGATCCTTGCAAAAAAACCTTGAATCATGATGGTTATTAAAAAAAACCATGCAATAAAAACTAGAATACCTTTATCATCACAGTTGATTGCCTAAACTGATATCAAATAATAAGAAAATCATACCAAATTAATGTCATATACTGGTAATAGCAGCTTAAGCATTAACACA